TGTTGACCCACAAGTGGAGTGACTTTTCTTGAGCAGTTCATCGTTCCAAGCTCTGGCTTATACACCTGAGAAGAGGAGGTTTTTATTCAGCTCTGGGGCCCATTTGAAGAATCCAAGCGTGTGCACAGGGCCCTGAGTCTGAGGAGGGTGAGCTTACTGCCAAATTCTGCAGGATATGCTGGCAGAGGGGCGCGGGGAGGGGGACAGTGATGCACCCTGGGCGGAAGCTGAGGCCGAGGGTTTTGCCAGGGGAGCCTGTCCAAGGTCAGGTGGGAAGCGGGGTTCCTGTGTGCATCTCGCACACGCCTGGCCTGGCTTTCCCACCCCCTTACCTTCACCTGAGCCCCTGCTTCCTCCTGGTGGGCTCTCCATTTGTCTGGCCTGTCAGCTGAAGATATACCTATCATTGTCATTATTTTGTGATTCTTGTCCTGGTTCTTTAAAAAAAAAAAAAAAAAGTCCTGGATTTTTTTCAAGTTATAAAAATTATATCTGCTAATAAAAATTTCAGTCTCTTTACCATTGTTGTGATAAGCCGAGCACTATTGTGGTTAATAGTAACATCCTAGTGAAGCTTAGGGACGTCCTGAGCCCAGCCCCGTCACATTGCCCATCTCACAGCACCTGCTTGTGCCAGGCCCACCCTCCTGGGGTTTGCAGTTGATCCTCAGACGAAGCTTCCCTTCCCCACTTGAGACTCTGAGAGGGCCAGGTGGCTTTGGGGCTGGGGGCCGACAGAGTGGGAACTCATGCCCCCACCCTGCTCCATGCCAGCATCTCTGTAGCTCCCAGCCATCCCTGGGCCCTGGACCCCCGGGGTCGGCCCTGCCTCGGGATGGAGCCACAGCCAGCTTCCTGCTGGACCTCTGTGGGGCCCGTGGTCAGAACCGGGAGTGGGCGGGAGTCAGCAGGCTGTGGGTTGAACCCTGACCGCCTCAGTCTGGATGTGTGACCTCCAGTGAGCCCCTCCTACTCTGTGGCTCAGTGTGCCTTTTGGGGTGGTGAGCTTTGGTCTCAGTGGCCCTAAATCCATGGCATGTGGTGTCTTTAGAAGCCATGAAATGAGACAGAAGAGGTGGTATGGGCAGGTGTGGAGGAGAGAGGGGCCCCCGGGGCCTGGGGGACCATCCATAGACACCCAGGCAGGGACACTGCAGTGGGGATTTTAACTGTAAAAATCCCTGGGCAGCTCCAGTGAGACAGCCGCTGTGGGGTGGCAAGAAGAACTGGGGTGCTGAGCGATGTTGACAGGAAGGGGGCTTCCCGGGCCCTGATCTCAGAGCTCTGCAGGTGGGAGAAGCCAGGGCTGTGGTTCCCATCCAGGTTCTCCTCCAGCAGGGTCAGCCACACAGGCCGCTGGGGACACAGTTCAGGGCTTCTCCCCAATGAGCCCTTTATCCCTGCACCCCCTCCCTCAGTGTGCCTCTCTGAGGTCTTTCCAGCCCCCAATCCTAGGCCCCCTATGGTGCCGCAGGCCTCATCCTCTGTCTTCCTGTGGCACTTCCTTTGTACCAAGCACAAGGCAGTTCCTTCCAAGCTGTCTTAGGACATCCCTCAAGAATGTGCCCAGTGCGACCCTTGCCAAGAAGCCATCCTGCGGCCCTGCTCCCTTCCGGTCACCCCCCCCGCCGCCACCCCCCAGTCTTCCCTCTCTAGCCCTCCCTTGGCCGAACTTGGGCCGAGTGCACCCAGTTTCCTGGCACTGCTTGGGACCCTCCTTGAGTCCTTACTCCCTTGAGGAATGATGTCCCCGACCCCTGGCCTGACGGCCTCCCCAGCCCTGCGGGGCCTGGCAAAGAGGGGACATTTAGTAACGGGCAAGTAGACATCCCCCTTGCTCAGCACCTGCCTGTGACAGGCCACAAGAGGGGGGCAGAGGGCATCTAGCGGTGCGCAGAAGGGTGCTGGGGCCACCTTCTGTGGTGTGCAGTCAGTCCTTAGATACGAGCCTCCCGATCTGTTAGGCTCCGAGTTGGGAGAGCAAGTTTGGGTAGAGACCCTGCTCTATGATCTATTTGGTTCTGAAATTTCAGGTAGCAAAGGGTTCATCGGAAAACAGATCCCGATCTATATCGTGCTCGAGTTTGGATAGTGAGGCATGCCTGTCATTGCAGTCGGGTGAAGCGGGGGTCAGGGCTGCTGCCGTCTGTTTGGGGGTGCAGGGTGCTTTTTTTCCTGTTTTCTGTCCGTTTCAGCCCGTACCCTCTCACTTCTCCCCACTCTGCCTGGGGACTCCCACCCCCACACCCTGGCCCGCCAGTCCTTGTGCCCTCCACTCCTGGACCCTGGTCCCATAGTCTCACTTGGATAACTTGCCCGCACCCCATTGGGAGGGCTACAGGGGACTTTCTCCTCCGCCCCCCGCTACCCAACCTGGTCCTTCTCAGCCCAGACACTTCAAGCCTGTCAGCTTTGTCTTTGCCTCCTCCCCAGCTTCCTCTCCAACCTATAGCCCACCCCCTGCCCGGGGGTCTTGGTGCACCTGATGGGATAATGGGATGTTACCTTGCCCTTCCCCTCCTCCTCCCCAGTCTAGCCCTGTGGCCTTCTAAACCTAGCCACCCACTGCTTGGATCCAGTATCTGGGTTTTGCTGAGCTACGGCTTAGGCAGACCTGGGTTCAAGTTCTGATCCAGGACAGCAGCTTCCTCCTGGGTGTGGCTTCTCAAGGGTTAGGGTAGATTGTGGCGCTTCTGGAAACCATGCTCTGAGGCTGGGCGTACTAGGGGCTGGTCAGGCCTCCCAGAGCTATGGCTGAAGGACCCTCGAGATCCTTCATGGTGGAAGAGTCTCCCATTGGGTGTCTGGCTGCTTGTGGCGGAGTCGGGACAGAGCCCTGGGCTGAGGCTGCCTGGCCTGGTGGCTGAGACCTTGGCTCTCCCGTCCTGGGTCTGCAAGCCGCGTAGGCACTAAAATGAGAAAATGATAATATGCCTCCTTAGGGATGTCATGAATATTCTTTGGGATCCTGCCTGCAGGACTTATCCACCTGCCCGCTCAGGTTAACGCCCAGGAGGGGTAGCCACAATGATGGGAATGATGATGGGGTTTATCAGTATTATTGTCTCCCACCATCCCATCTTCTCTCTTGGGCTCCCCTCCGATTTCTTACCCCTTCTTGCCGGCTCCCCCCGCCCCTCCCAGTCCTGCCTCATCATTTTTCAAAACAATTTCCGTGGTCGTTGTGAGAGTTCTGCTTGTTTATGGTTTTTAAAAAATAGTCATTCAAAGCAGATTCCTCATTTGTTCCCCCCCCCATATTGGAATCTGGACAGCCATGACCTCATTCCGGGAAAGGGGACCACAGGCAGGGTCTGTGGAGTGTGGGGGAAGGGGGTCCTTGGTGGGCTGAGCTCTTCCAGAGGGAGTAGAGGGGTTGAGCCTGCCTGAGACCCTGGATGGGGATGTGGCCACATGCTTTCAGCCCTCCTCTCCGGTCACCACCTCCTAGCGGGGCCCCTTGACTGCACCCCAGCTTCACCACCCACTGTCTATGTGACCTTGAGCCTGTGACTTCTTAACCTCTCTGGGTCTCAGTGCTTCTTCGGGGTCTTCTCGAAAATGGGAATCACACCAGTCCCACCGCATAGGGAGGGCTCTTGAGAAGATCAGACGAGATGCTGTCTGAGCTGGGTGGCTCTTGGGAAGCAGAGACCAGCCATAGGAGGGACGGTGTCTCATCAGCCCCTTCTTTGAGAAAGGACCAGGTCTTCCAACCTGGAATCCCAAGACTGGGGGTGGGCGGCTGTCCACCACGGAGTCTAGTCTTCTTAGTGTGCAGGGAACTGAGGCCCAGGAAGGGGAGCCTTGGGGTGAGCTGGCACGACCCTGAAGCTGGGACTGGAGCAGCAGCTTCTCGGGACGAGGAATTCTCTCCAAGGAGAGGGCCTCCTTGTCATGGGTCATCGCCCTCCCTGGGCCTCAGTTTCTTCATCTGTAAATAGGGTTGCCCAGCAGTGCCAGCCCTGAGTGTCTGGTGTGTGCTGGGCGAGCCCTGGAGGCCACAGGAGTCACCTTCTCTGTTCTCTGTTCAGAAACTGTTTTGGCAGCAGAGAAGCAAATGGCCCGTGGAAGCAAAAAGGTGGTTAACTTGGGGGAGGAGTTAATTTTAGAACGTTTATTTATTTTTTGAATCGTGGAAGGAATCACGGTTGTAAAATAATTCAAATTCTGTAAAAGTGAAGAAAGAAGAACATGCAATCCACTCGGCCCTCCCATATCCCACAGCCAGGGGTCCCACGCAGAACAGTTGGGGCATGCTGCCTTCTGGGACATTTTCCTCCATGTCCAGGCATAAATAACTTTGAGGCACAAACAGGAGTGATTTTAAATGAGGTAACAGCACGTGGTTCTGTAACTCACTTTTCTCGACGTGGCCAGGTGTGGGCACCTTCGCACTGGTGGTACCCATCAGTCCCACCCGCTTCCTGTCCCAGGTGCACAGGTAATGGTGGGAACCGGTGTCTGTGCACGCGCACCTGGCTCGCGTCTGCTGATCGCCTGTGTGAGTATATACACCTGCTCCCCGGTGAGGTGTTCCGTGGAAAATTCCTTGAGGAGTGAGCGTGGCATCTGGGGCCCCACATGAGCCCTTAGAATTTGCATGTGCCTCCACCGGTCGCCCTCCAGAAAGGGCCTCCCGATTTCCAGCACCCCGGGCTCCGAGTTAAGGTGTCTATTCCCCCACACCCTGACTGGTCTCTGCCTGCGGCCTCCTGGTGGCTGAGAAGCCCAGGCTGACAGGCTCACTCGTCTGTCGGTTTCTCGTGTTTTCTCTGTCACCGTCATCGGCCGGTTTCCCGTCGGAAGGGCCACCCCCTGTGCGCAGGGGATGCAGCAGCGCTCTGGCCTGGAAGGAGGGGCAGGTGAAAGGAGAGAGCTTGGGCCAGGGGTTTCACCAGCCGGCGGTACCGAGCTTGGCCGATGCCCCTCCTTGGGGCATGGCTGCTGCTCGCGGTAACTGTGCCGACCTCACAGTCCTCTTTGTTCTTCCCTTTCAGAGAGAACTGGGAAGATCCTGACGGAGTTCCTCCGCTTTTATGAGGACCAGTATGGCGTGGCCCTGTTCAACAGCATGCGCCACGAGATCGAGGGCACGGGGCTGCCGCAGGCCCAGCTGCTCTGGCGCAAGGTGAGAGGTGCTGAGCCGGGGGGCGGGGCGGGCCCCCACATGGCCTGGGCGAGTGGCTTCCTGTTCCCGGGCCTCAGTTTACCGTTGTTGCCTCCATGGTCTCTAGGGGCCCCACCTAGCGTCTGTTTTGGTTTGTTTTTAAGATTTTATTTATTTGAGTACCAGAGTGAGCAAGCACGAGCAGGGCAGGAGGAGGGCAGAGCGAGAGGGAGAAGCAGACTCCCGGCTGGGCAGGGAGCCCAATGTGGGGCTCTATCCCAGGACCCCGGAATCAGGACCTGGGCTGAAGGCAGATGCTTCACCAACTGAGCCGCCTGGGTGCCCCCCACCCAGCTTCTGAAGGGTCAGATAACCCAGTGGTCTTGCCAAGACCCCTTCATTAGGCGTGGGGACTCCCTGCCAGCTCTGCCCCTCCGTTGGTGGAGCTGGGGCTCTGGAATCATCTTGACAGGCCTGGGTTCAAGCCTACTCCCCGCCCCCCACTTTTCTTTTTCTTTTTTTAATATATTTTTAAATTTTATTTATTTGATAGAGATTACAAGTAGGCAGAGAGGCAGGCAGAGAGAGAGGAAGGGAAGCAGGCTCCCCGCTGAGCAGAGAGCCTGATGTGGGGCTCGATCCCAGGACCCCAGGATCATGACCTGAGCCGAAGGCAGAGGCTTTAATCCACTGAGCCACCCAGGCGCCCCCCCCACTTTTTTTTCCAAAGATTTATTTGTTCGAGAGAGAGATTGTGGACACATGTGCCTGTGAGAGCGGCAGGAGGGACAGGGAGAGATTGAATCCTCAAGCAGACAGCAGAGCCTGATGCGGGGCTCGATACAGGGATGCTAAGATCACGACCTGAACCAAACTCAAGATGGTTAGATGCTTAACCGTCTGAGCCACCCAGGCGCCACTGGCCACTCCTCTTTAAGGCTTAATGCCCGTGAGCAAATGACCTGCCCTCGTGGATCTTAGTTTACTCATCTGTGAAATGGGGTGAGACACCTGCGCAGAGAGTTGTAAGGGTGAAAGAATTAGTCGGCCAGGCGCCTGGAGCAGGGGAGGTGCTCGGTGGGCGCTGTCTCATAGTGTCAGCATCACCAGCCGTGTCATTAGCCTGTCATTAGCAGGATTGTGTTTGCCCAGTAAATATTTGTTGTGGGACTGGAAGCTGTGTGACTGCAGCCCACGGGTCAGCACAGACTGAAGGAGGCACACAAGGCCTCCTGGGAAGGGGCCCGGCAGAGACTGGCCTCCGAGTGGGGCCAGGGGTGGGACTGGTGGAAAGGAGGTGAGGGAACGTTGGAACACACCGGTCATGAGTGCCCAGCTGGAAGCCAGCGGCCCTAGGCCTGAGCCTATGGGGTGAGCCTCTGGGCCATGGGACCTGGGTCAGTGCTCCCCCAAACCCTTGCTCCTCTGGGGTGGTACGGGGGGCTCTGAGTCAGCCCAGGGACGATCTAGGGCATACCTGTTCAGTGACCTTCACCACCTACCCCCCCAACCCCCGCCCGTACAGCCCAGGGGTGGCAGAGGGAAGGGTGACAAAGAGGAAGGGTGCCCGCCCCACCTCTTTTGCAGGTGGCCTGCCCCGGAGTGGCCCAGCAGCAGCCCAGAGGCTACTTGCTCCTGGCTGGTGGCCCGGGGACAGAGTGTCCGCCCACCAGCTTCCCTCTGGGGGATTGGACCGGCTGAGCCAATCCCTTACCGGGGCTCCAAACCAGGTCAGCCAGGCCAGCTCAGTGGGGCCGCTCCAGTCCTTTGTGGCTGAATTCCGTGCTTGGTGGGCTCCAAAGCTGCCCTGGGCCACCTCATCGCACCTCCCCACCCAGTCCTGTGGGCTTCCTCCCAGCTGCCCGGGTCAGCCTGTTTTCGGGCTTCCCGGGCAGGGGAAGGACTGTAGGGGAAGGAAGGAGGCCGGAACGCTGTGGTCTGGGGGAGGAAAACTCAGGGGTTCGGGCCCAGAGCTTCTTGGTAGCTGCTGGCTTGGGCAGTTGAGTCAACCATCAGGGCTTGGTCTCCTGACCTGACAGGTGGGCACCTCCTTCGGGGGGCTGTGGAGACGACTCCCGAGAGAATGAGGGGAGCAGGTGGGGTTAGTAAGACACACAAGTCCCGAGTTGCCGGGTAACCTCCAGCCCACCACCTCACCTTCCTGAGCCTTAGTTTCTCTGCATGTGAATGGACACCCAGAACCGCTTTCATGGGCCAGAGGTGGGAGAGCAGCCTAGGGACGGGGTGGGGATGTCCTGGGGCCTCCGGATGGGGTTCAGATTATGTGGAAAGGGACCAGTCTGGGGGTCGCAGAGGTGTTACAGCAGAAGAGCCTCCGAAGGCCCCAGACTTGGAAGGGTTGGGATTCTTTCCTTCTTGTCCCCACCCTCCCCCAAACCCAAGTAGTGGAAAATGTGTCCTGTTATCCTGAGACCAAAGGGGCTGGAGCTGGCTTTTGGCACGTGTTACCCTTTGGTGTCTTTTCAGTGGGAGGGACAGCTGGAGGCATCACCTGAGGAGAGACAGGTGGGCCCATGGTCAGGACCACACACGGAGCCAGGCAGGTGCAGAGGCCGCGCTGGTCCCACAGACACTCAGGAGACAGTAAACCGTCACTTACATAAAATGGTGCCACAAAGGAGAGGACAGAGTGAACTCAGCCTGGGGCAGGGTGGCGGTCCCACCAGGGCCTCTTGGGAGGGGGTCGTCTCCGCTGAGGACCTGCCAGGAGGAGAGACCATCAGGCTGCGAGAGCGGCGTGTAGAGCTGGGCCGGCCTTTCAGTGGGTCGCCCAGGGTGGTGGAGGCAGTATTCGAGCCAGGTTCGATTCCTGCCGGGGGTGGAGGGCAGGCCGGGGCTACGCGCCTGAGCCTTGGAGCATCATGGGACCCTTTATGTCTGGTCCCTTGGTGTCGTGGCCCCCTCCCCATCCTGTGGCAATAGAGAGCCGAGATGTGGCCCGCACTGGCTGTCTGGCACATGCCCTCTTGTGTGGTGTCCCAGACAGCCGGGGTCCCAGTCACCCGAGTGAGTGGTGGTGTCTGATGGCGCGAGGCTTGAGAGTCACCGCCTGGGGGACGTCTGTGGTAATGCTTTAGTGCCCGTTGTAGGAAAGCCACAGTGACATGTCAGTAAGAGGAGTAAAAGGAAACCATCCCCAACCCCCAAAAAGCAGGGATTTTTGGTCCCATTTTGCCCCTTAGGAAACTGGCCATTGTGATAAATCAGGCTAATATCATAATAGAAATACGAATGTTAATGGTCATCATAATGTCAGTTGTTTTTATTAGAAATGATAATAGAGTAGCAGTAGTAATAGTAAAAAACCAGAAATCCTGTTAAAATTAGCAGCTGGGCTGTGTGGGTACCGCTCATCCAGCGGGCGGGACATCGCCCTGAGGGATTCTACTTCTGTCCACACCCACGATGTGGACACGGAGACTCAGAGAGGTGGAGCCGCTTGTCCAGACTCCCGCGGCGTGGGCGGTGGGGCTGGGGCTGGAATCCGGACCCGGACCGTGGGAACCGGGGTCGCCATTCGCCTCCCCCCCATCCCCCCGAAGATCCCCAGCGCGGCGTTGGAGAACTTGGCAGTGTCCAAAATATTTTGCCTGGACTGGCAGGTTCCGTTTCATTTCCTACAGGCCTTCCAATGGAAACATGACTCCGCCATTTGAAAGTCTTAAAAATAAAACCCAAACCTGCAAGCAACCGCCCATTATGGGCTGCCCCTGGATCTGGGGGTGGACTCTGGTGGGGTGGGGGGGCTGGGCTGCCCCTGAGGCGGGGATCCTGCCCTGAGCTGGGAGGAGGACCAAATGGGGTGGGTGGGGGGCCCCTGGGTGGGGGGAGCGAGGGATCTCACCAGGGTGTCAGGAGAGCTGTCTGCTCTTTCTTTCCAGAAAAGACAGGGATTTGAGAGCTGGGTTTCAAAGGAGGCCCCTGTCTAAATATAGCCAACTGAGGAGAGCTTTGTGGCTGGGCAAAGCCCACTTGTATGCAGTAGAGTGGCGGTGTGGGGAGGGGTGGTGGGGGGACCATTTTCTTTTCCTGTAAATATTTTTATCCCCGGGTAGGAAGCAGTCCCGGGGTACTATTGTTTGAGTACAATGGGCCCTCATTTTCCAAGAGTGTTTTGGCATTTCCCCTTGAAGAGTGGGGAGGTTGCTGGGGAGAAGGGGGCCCCTGTGAAGACACAGGCCTTGGGGGCGGGAGGCTTGGGACCAAGGCTCCCACCTGACTCCAGCTAAGGGGGCAGAAGTGGAGCGGGGAAGCTGGGGAGGGTCAGGCACTGTTAATATTAATACTTTCTGCCGTTATTAATCGGATGCGTTTTTATTTTTGCAAGAGGCTCCATATTTTCTGGAGAACAGCTAGAACTTCTTGAAACTCCGGGAGTAAGCCTGCCCCCTGTGGCCTCTGTATCTCCCTTTCCTGAAACTTCCCGGTGAGGGTTTTCTCAGGAAACACGTTCTCCGCTCTCAGGCACGGCCACCCCTCCTCTTCCCCAAGTAAGTCAGCTTGTGGAGCCAGGAGACTGACACAGTCTCAGGAGTCCCAGCGCAGTCACGGGGGCTGGGACTGTGAGCCGAGCAGACCTCCTGTCAGCGCGTGCGATCCTGCACACGACATCTCACGGAATCCTCGAGACACTGGGCTGAAGTCACTGCTGTCCCCGTCCTCATGTCACAGATGAGGACACCGGGGCTCAGACAGCTGATGTGACAGGCCCGAAATCACACTGAGTCAGAGGGGGAGTCCAAGCTAGGGCTTTGCAAGGAAGGTCTGGGTGTTTCTGCCGCCCACATTGGTCATCCTGTCTGCCAGGATGCTGGTCCAGCATTGAACCCTCCAAACTCAGGTCCGCTCCAACCCCACCTGAATCCACGGAGCTCATCTTTTTAGCTGTCAGAGCGAGGGAGGCTCTCCACAGCCACCTTGGCCAAATTTTTGTTACCCTGAGAGGAAACTGAGGCGAGAGCAGGAAAGAGACTTTAGCAGGCACCGGAGCCTTCACTCTACTGGCCTGTGGGCATTTCCCATCGGGCTGGTGCCACTGCGCCGCCGTGGTGGGTGGATGAGGAAGCAGTCTGCCGTGGGCTCCAGGGACCCGCCCCAAGGTTCTAGGGCCAGGATAGAGGGGGAGACCTTGGTCCTGGCTGGGCCCCGAATGCTGGTGCCTGGCCCAGGTTCGAGTCCTGGCATCACGGTGCTCTGGCTGGACCTCGGGGAAGCCCCTTTGCCCTGAGCCTCACTCTGCTCTTTGGCCACGTGGCTAAGATGCAGCCCTGCCTCAGAGGAGGACTCGGGGAGATCGGGATGAGGGATGTGCTCAGCAGCACCCCCCCCCTTCTTGGGGGAGCCCCACTGGCCAACTGGGCTGTGGGGGAGCCGGGCCTCACTCCGCACCCCACCCCCACCTGCAGGTGCCGTTGGATGAGCGCATCATCTTCTCGGGGAACCTCTTCCAGTACCAGGAGGACAACAAGAAGTGGAGGAACCGCTTCAGTCTCGTGCCTCACAACTACGGGCTGGTGCTCTATGAGAACAAAGTGGTGAGCCCCATCACCCCCCCAACCACACCCCTGCTCTGCTCCTCCTCTGCAGCCCCCATGCCCAGCCTGCTTGTTCTGCTGGCTTCCTCTAAACAGCCCAGCCCTGGGGCTCCCCTTTCACTTTGCCTCCCCCTGGAAGCAACTCGCCACTAGTTCCTACCCACCTCAGATTCTTTTCCAGTCCCTCCAGTGCCAGGGCCGGAGCTTCTCCCCTCCACCCCCACCCCTCCCAGCCTCCTTCCTGGCTGGGCTTCCTGCAGCTTTCCAGCTGCTCCCATCCTTGCTCTTCCATGGTCACAACCGACTGCTGACACAGGAGTCTGGCCATTCCCTTCCCCCACTTACCCCAGGGTGGTGATCCCATCTTTTTCCTTCCTGATTCCTCTGCTGCGCCCGCCCCCCCAGCCCCGCGGCCCCCTGCTGCCTGATGGGGAAGTGTCCTTCCTGCCCATTATTCCTTATCTTTGCCCTGGGCCCTTGGGGAAGCTCCCCTGGCTGAGCCACATACCCAGTTTCTTCTCCCAGACATTTCCCCAGAGTAGCAAAGGACAGGCCTGAGTGTCCTCTGTTCAAGGAAAATCGGGGTTAAAGAAACAGAAACAGGGTCGGGAGCCGACTGATGGCCCCTGGCAGGGGTCCTCAAGCTGGTGCCACCTGGAGGGTATATGGCACAAGCTGGGCCTACCCAGTTTGATGGAGGTCTGAGCAGGGCTGATAGTTTGTACTTCTAACAAATTCTCAGGTGATGCTGATGGTGCTTGGGACCTAGGACCACACTTTGCAAATCAGTGCCCTGGAGGTCCTGAGCCGTTCTGAAAAAAAATGTGTTGGGTAGTGACACCTAGTGGCCGGAGGCAGTATGGCAGCCCTGCTGTACAAGCCACTATGACAGAGACCCTTTTTGACCGCTTGGGTGTAAGAAAGCAGTGTCCAGACCTAATTCTCATCCAAAGCAGATTTTTGGGGGGCTCAGAACCTAGGAATCTGCTGGACAATACAGCAGTAATCTGCAGACAATACAGGGTAATAGTCAAAGACTCTGGAGCCAGGAGACACACAGACCAGGTCATGTCCTCAGTTAGTTGAGCACGGGCCGTTGTGAGCTTGTGGCTGACGATGTTACCCCACCGCTGGATGGTGAGGATTTTGTGGAAGGAAGCAGTGCAGTGCAGTGCCCTTAGCACGGTGCCTGGTGTGTAGTAAACACTCACACTCAGCTGGTGGGGGCTGCTGCTAACAGGGGCGGGAGTGCTGGGAATGCTCACTGCGGCTGGCTGCGAGGCGGGGAGCCAGTCATGTTACATCGATCATCTCACGCTGTTCTCACTCGGCTCGTGGGGTGGGAGCTGTCATCGCCCTGGTTTAGTAGATGAGGAGACAAAAGCATAGGAGGCAAAGGAGCCTAGTGTCCACGTCACACAGTCGGTGTTCAGTGGAGCTGGGATTTGACCCCCGGCCAGGATGCAGGTCATTACACCAGGTGGTCTCAAATCACTGCGGTGGGTGGGCTTCTCCTCTTTCCTCTCTCCCCCTCCCCTCTCCCTTCCCCTCCTCCCCACTGCGTCAGGCAGGTCACACTGAGAGGGCCCTGGAGCCTGAGTGGAACATGGGGCTTAGGTTTGGCCACATTGTAACCCCCAGCGGCCATCTCTCTTGTCCCTTCCTCAGGCCTACGAGCGGCAGGTCCCACCCCGGGCTGTCATCAACAGTGCCGGCTACAAAATCCTCACCTCCGTGGACCAGTACCTGGAGCTCGTTGGCAACTCCTTACCAGGTAAAGGAGCCCCCGCACCCCATTCCAGGCTGAGATGCCCTGCTTAGGCCCAGGAGGTGGCCCGGGGAGAGGGCAACCCTGATCACAGAGCTCCAGGCTCCACGTTTGCAGAGAGAGTGGCCAGGCCTCGAGGGATGGCACGTGCCCTCAGAGGGGAGGCCGAGAGGGGGTTTGCCTGAGGCCCACCAGTGAACTGGGCCTGGGCCGATGTTGGCTTCCTGCTGCGTGCCAGCTTCCTGAGCCTTACAGTCACAGCTATGCCGTGGGGGTCCTGCTCTCTGCCCTTCCCACCTCCCTGAGGCCTTGTGAGATCCCTGGAGCAGATGACCCAGGTGACTCTCTAAACTGTGGAGTCAGTACTGCATTGGTGAGGAGTTCTAGGTATCCTGTTTCCATCCCACCCTGTCGGGGCCTCCCAGAAGCCTTACAGGAGCACATCTGTCTCCTAGGTGATCCCAGGGAAACCCGGGGGTGGGGGAGCCGCCGATCTAGGGGGCAGCCTGTGTCCCACCCTCCCGACAGGGCTTAGGGGTAGAGCGCCCAGTGCTGTTGAGGGCTCTGAGAAAGCCCAGCATTCCTGAATTCCAGCCCCAAGGCTGGCTTTGTTTTTGTTGTGTCTTCTCCAGCAACTTGGCACTGGGAGGACTGACCTTGGGGTGTTGTGTAGACCCTGCGAGGTGTTGTGTGCCCCCAGGCCCCACACAGGGATGCAGAGCCAGGCCTAGAAGAAGAGCTGTCATTGTGTTATCTACAGGGGCGAGGTCCTAGCCCCCGACCGCTTATCTTTCTGGATCTCAAATATCCTTGGGGAAGAAGTAGAGAAAAATCTTCTTTTATTTATTTTCTGTCCCCGCCCCCCAACCCTCCCTCCCCCTGGGACATTTAAGCTACTCTTTGGCCTCCACAGCTGAAATTTGAAGGGAAACCCAAGAAGGTAGTGCTCTGCCTCTGAGCCTGAGGCCTCTCTGACCCTGCTCCCTGTGCTGTAGGCACGTGCTCCCTCTGCTGTAGGCACGGACTGGTGAGCCTTTCCCCGGGTGCAATGCCAGCTCTGAGAAATGGGTCTGAACATGCCTGGGGACTCTGAGGTCCCTTTAGCGGGGCTGCAGTGGCAGAGAAGCATGCTGTTTCCCTACTGAATTGCTGCTCAGCCCAGAACAGGCCAGCCCTCTCCGGGCTTCAGCCAGCCCCTGGGAGCTGGGCCCGGGGATCCGTCGCCCCGTCGCCTGCCATCCCCCCCACCCGCCCCATCCCTCGCCCCAGAAACTGCAGGGGGCAGCGGCTCAGCCGGCGCTGTCTCCACAGGGACCTCGTCAAAATCGGGCACCGCCCCCATCCTCAAGTGCCCCACGCAGTTCCCGCTCATCCTCTGGCACCCTTCTGCCCGGCACTACTACTTCTGCATGATGACGGAAGCCGAGCAGGACAAGTGGCAGGCGGTCCTGCAGGACTGCATCCGGCACTGCAACAATGGTGAGGGGCCCCTGGTCTCGGTGGTGGCGGTGGCGGCGGCGGCGGTGGTGGTGGTGGTGGTGGTGGTGGTGGTGGTGGTGGCGGCAGCAGCAGGGCAGGGCGGGGGGCGTGGCCTGGGGTATGTGCCGAGTGGCGACACCTAGTGGCTGAGTATGGTGCGGCAACCCTGCTCTAGGAGCTGTTCTCCATTTCCCGCTGGGGTCGTTAGGAAACCACTGCGATGTCGCCTTTTAACTCTCTTCCTTGAAGAAAACAGTTCTGTCCGGCTCAGAGAAAATTTGGGAAATTGTTCTTAGAGGGGTTATGGTTGTTGAGCCCTTGGGCCCTGGGGCCCAGAATCACAGTCCTGATTCTGCCCCTTCCCAGCAACATGACTTTAGGAGGAGACCAGGTTACCTCTCTGAGCCTGTATGAGATGGGGTAAGAATCCCTCCCGGGTCTTAGGGTGTTTGTACGGATTCACGGTGAGAGTCCACTTGATGCTTGGTGTAATGACTTTTATTTATTCACTTGTTTAATTTCTTTTTTTTTAGAAAAGATTTTATTTATTTATTTATTTATTTGACAGACAGCAAGAGGGGGAACATAAGCAGGGGGAGAGGGAGAGGGAGAATCAGGCTTCCCGATGAGCAGGGAGCCTGATGTGGGGCTCGATCCGAGGACCCCAGGATCTTGACCTGCGCCAAAGGCAGATGCTTAACCGACTGAGCCACCCAGCGCCATGTGTAATTTCTCTTAAAATATTTTAAGCAATATCTACCCCCAGTGTGGGTCTCGAACCCACAGTGCCAAGATCAAGATTTGCATGTCCCACTGACTGAGCCAGCCAGGCACCCCAAGACTTATTTGATTGTATCATTTGTTGCCTCACCCTGACCTGTAGGGTAGCCTGGGGGTTCATAGCCTTTCTAAGTGTTCTCTTCTGTAAAGTAATGGGGTCTCTTTCCGCTTGCTCATTCATTCAGTGGACATCTTTAGTGTCAGGCGGAGGCTGCACCCAGGGAGCCAGACCTGGGTCCTGACCCTGTGTGGCCGGCAGCCCTGTGGAGGCCGCAGACGTTAAGCAGGAGGAGCAGCTGTGCCCGGTGCTGGGTGGGCACCGCCCCGGGAGCCTGTAGGGTGTGTGTTGGGTGGGTGCTGACCCTGTGTGTGCAGACAGTGGGCCAGCTGAGGAGCTGAGGGTTCCACTGAGACCTGAAGGATGAATGGTCCTTGAGTCGGGGGGAGGAGCTTTCTAGCCTTGAGTGTGGAGGGCAGCCTGGAGGGCAGCTTGGAGGTGGGGACGGTTTAGAGGAGGAGTTGCATGAAGACCTGCTGAGGGTGACCCAATGCACTGGGGGGCCCTGGGGTCTGGTCTGGAGGGCCCTGCAGGACCATAAGGAGTTTGATCAAAAATGGGGACAGTGGGGCACTGAGGGTCTTTGTGCCCTCGGGGAAGGAACAGCCTGTGCTGAAACCTGAACTTCCTTCCTGGTGACCCGGCCTGGGGCAGGCAGGAGAAGGAGGCCACCACCCCCACCCTCCTTGTCCAGCATGTCTCCCATGCTGGGGGTGGACAGCATGGGCACCCACGCCTGGAGGCTGGGCTGCTGCCGTGACTCTGCTTGCCTGCCCACCCTCCCTGTTCTGCAGAGCCGCCTTCTTTCTGGAATCTGTCATGTGGGAGGAACCGGGTCTTCAGCTGGGCCAGCCCCTGTCACCTGGACCAGGCCCTGCCACCCACAAAAGGCCTCCTGTTCCCAGATCCCCTGGGGCTGTGGGGCCAGGGCAGGGTGGAGGCCATCTGGGTTCTGGCTGCCTGGTCTGGGCACCCGCCCCACTCCTCCCTTCTTCCTCCCTCCCCACCCCAGCCCTGGCCCAGCTCTGCCCTCCCCAGGTTTCCCAGGCTCATGGCTGAGCTGGCGGGCCCACCCCAGGTCAAGGGTGGGTTCCCCTTGTGCACAATGCAAGGATGACAAGCTTGAGCTCGGTGGGATTGCCGGGCAGACTGAATGAGCTGGTTTGGGGAGAGCTCTTGGCCCCGTGCCTGGCACAGCTGGGAACTCACCTGGGACGCTGAGGGGAGCCCCGTGGCTGGGTGCGGGTGCTATGGGCAGAGGGGGCGGGGAAAGAAGGGGCAGCCTGCGGCTGGATTTAGAGGAGTTTCCTTCTACCCTGAGGACTGTGGGAAAGTTCTCTGCTTCCTCTAACTTGGAGGCTGGGCCTGGAATTGCTCACTCTGGGGGCTGCCAGGAAGTGGGGGGAGATGTGGGGGGAGGAGGCCAAGCTGGGGGGACGCCAGCTTGTCCCAAGGCCCCCCTTACATCCTGCATTCCTGGAGCAGCTGGGGGTGGCAGGAGGCAGCTGGGGCACTGAGCTAAGCCCTCAGGGTGGGCCGGGACTGCAGAGGTCAAGGCTTCTTCCTGTCTGACTGCCATCCCCCTTTTTCTGCTGCTTGGGACTGAGGAATGCAGTTTCCTTTCTCAGTCTGACCCCGATGACCCCACGGGCAGGAAGTCCCCAGGTTTGGCTGGAGTCCTCCAGTCCTGTGTTGGAGCCCTCCTACTGCCATTCCCTAGCTGTGTATCCTCCGACCAGTAACCTGGCATCTCTGAGCCAGTCTCCTCCGTTGGGAAAAGTGGGACTGAGAACAGCCATCAAACAGGGCTCATAGAGGAGGGAATGTGTGTGAGGTCTCAGGCTGGGCCTGGCGTCTGGGTCTGCTTGGGCCGCCACAGCTCGGATGGCTTACACAACTGTGGAGGCTAGAAGTCCAAGATCAAGGTGTCAGTAGGTTAGTTTCCTTTTGAGACCTGCCTCCTTGACTTGCAGATGGCTGTCTTCTCACGCAGCACCCCCTCCTTGTGCACATTTTGCATCCAGATTCCCTCTTCTTTCAAGGACATAGTCCTCTTGGATGGAGACTCATCCTAATGACTTCATTTTACCTAAATTACTTAGTTAAAGGCCCAATATCCAAATATAGTCACCTTCTGAAATACTAGAGCTTAGGTCTCTAACCTAGGAATCTGGGGGGACACCATGCAGCCCCTGACAGCCAGGCTCAGGGGAAGAGCTCAGGAAGGGGACCTTCTCTCCTATGAGACTCAGCAGCCCAGCTGCGGAGTAGAGATGTCCTGAGGGTCTGAGAGCCCAGGCCTGGGACGCTGTAGCCTCCTTCCTGCTGCCCCCACCCATGCCCCTGCTTGTTGTCTGTAGACGGTAAATGCCCTGGGGTGAGCGAGGGTGCATGTACAGCACAACCCACATTTTCTAGGCAAAACCTGGCCTCTGGGAGGCCGTGCTCCTCCTTCCTCCCTGGCCTGATGGGCAGCCCTGCTGGAGCACCCCTGCCCTTCTCCAGTCACTCTGCCTGATCTCAGTCCCTGAAAGGCAGCGGGGCTCCCCCCACCCCGTCCAGGGAGCCCCGTTTCCCACCTCTGAGCCCCCTTCCGGCGCTGACAGGCAGTGACTCCTACGCTCAGCTGGAGGTGAGGGGGTTGTCCCCATGCCCAGAGGGGCTTTTTCTCCACGGGGGTGACTCAGCCTGTAGTCAGTGCCGTGGGAGCCAGGGTTTTGAAGGACCAGACTGCCGTTTCCCCTTCCTGGGCTCCAGGGACACAGTGGTCGGGGGCATAGGGCCAGTGTGTCAACCATATTCTTCCCCGAGTCCGATTTTGCAACTTCCTGTCGCTTGCCTCCCCCAGCAGCTGTTTCGGGTGTCCCGTGCCTCGTTCCCTGACCCACCTCGCTGGCACACAGAAGGAGGGTGAGCTCCTACGGGCCGCTGCCAGCGCCACCAGTAGCACGAGTCTGGGACTAGTGTGTTGTAGTGAGACCGGGATGCCGTGGTGAATGAGGGTGACCCAGTCCGCCCACGGACAGCGAGAGCACCCCGTCCCTGCTAGGCGTAGTAAAGGGCGACACGGTGTGGAGGTGGGTTCTGCTCTGGGGCCCCCGCATGACCAGTTCCCAGCCCGTCCCCACGGCTGGAGCCTCACCGTGGTTGTGGGAGGCCAGGCCGGGCCGTTGTTCCCACTGCTAGGAAGAGAAAACTGAGGCCCTTAGGGTTCAGGGATCTGGAGCAAGACTTGGCAAGCTACGCAGCGCACGGCCCAGAATTTGGCCCATTGCCTACTTTTGCAAATCAAGTTTTACCAGCTCGTTGGTTTCCAGATTGTCTGTGGCTGCCTTGATGCCACCGTGGCAGAGCGGAGTGGTTGCAACAGAGATCATCTGGTCTGCAAAGCTGAAAATATTTACTGGCTGGCCCTCTGCGGGGAAAGTTTGCAGGCCCCGATGTGGACAGTAAGGGGAGGGAGCAGGACTGGAATGAGGACCTCGGGGTTCCTCTGGCCCGCGCTCTGCTGTGCTGGCCGCATCTCCCGGCAGGGGTGGGGTGACCTTGGGACCCAGCTCTGCCACTCACTGCCGCAGGACCTCCAGCCAGTGGCCTGACCTTGCAGCCTGTGTTGATCTGTCAAGTAGGGTTGAGGACAGTTTGGGGTAGTTGGGAAAATTTGAGAAGGGAAGTTGCATACGAGGGAGAGTGCTGCGCTGCTGTTGGTGGAGGGCCATTACCGCTGTCACGGTCACTGCAGACATGACCGCCACCATCGCTGTGAAGGCAGTGGGGCTGCAGGAGGGGTGTGCCTGTGTCTGCACACTCGGGGGAGGGAGCGGGTGTTCGGGCTGTCGGCCAGTCGGTCTCGGTGAAGGCCACTGGGCCATCCCACCGACCTCCCCTCTCCCTCCCTGTCTGGAGCAGGGATCCCAGAGGACTCAAAGGTAGAGGGCCCCGCATTCACGGATGCCATCCGCATGTACCGCCAGTCAAAGGAGCTGTACGGCACCTGGGAGATGCTGTGTGGGAATGAGGTGCAGGTGAGACCGAGGGGGCCGCTGAGGGGACCGTGGGAGTCACCCCGAGGGTCAGAGCGTGGTGCCAGGCACAGAGACTTTGGGCTCGGGTGCTCCCGGTTTGTAAGGAGACAATAAGATCATTTTGGACAAGTGGAGATACTTTATTCAGTTGTTTACTGATATCTCTCCTGACCCAGGGGCTGGGGTGCTTCTGTGAATAAGAGGGACATGGCCTGTGCCCTTATTCTCTCTCTAGCAGGAGAAACAGATGTTTGACAAATAAACACACATACTACTACGTGCAAATGAGGGGGGAAGGAGGGGTCGTGTTCCAGACAGGGAGGCAGCAGGTGCAAAGGCCCTGGGGTGGGACTCCTGGTTCTGACGATCCGGCAGGTCCCTTGAGCAGATGAACTGGGATCTGGGGTAAATGATGCTCAGAAGAGAGGGCAGTGCAGACATGGAGCCAAGGCCAGGCCCAGGGGAGGTGGGGCTTCAGGAGAACGTGGAGAGGAACCTGCCAGCTGGACATGCTCTAAGCTCTGGCCTGGCCTGTGCCTCCTGGTCCTAGATCCTGAGCAACCTGGTGATGGAGGAGCTGGGCCCTGAGCTGAAGGCAGAGCTCGCCCCGCGGCTGAAGGGGAAACCACAGGAGCGACAGCGCCAGTGGATCCAGGTGGGTGCGTGGGGGCTCGGAGGCGGGGGGCTGTGCCTGCCCAGCACCCTGGCTCTGGCTCTGGCTCTGACGCCTTGGCTCCACCCGCAGATCTCCGACGCTGTGTACCGCATGGTATACGAGCAGGCCAAGGCACGCTTCGAGGCGGTGCTGGCCAAGCTGCAGCTGGCCCGGCCGGCCATGGAGGCCACCATTCGCACAGACATGGACCAGATCATCACCTCCAAGGAGCACCTGGCCAGCAAGATCCGAGGTAGGCAGGCCACCTGCTGTGCTCGGGGGCCCGGGGCGCCCCTCCCGTCTGTGCTGTGGACCCATGTACAAGTGACTCAATTCGTTTGGTCATTTTGAAAAATGAAAACCAACCTGAGCCATTGTCCTTCCAACCTCTGGGTATAGTTTTGTGGCTATTTTTGCAAACCCAGACCTTGAAGATGTCTGTCTTGTCAAGGAAGTTCCAGTGTGTCACTCAGCTTTAGTCGGTCACGGACTTGACCGTGGCTTCGTAGGCATCCGTTTAGCTGTGATGATGCCTCGGATCAGGGCTCGCTTTTCAGGGTCCGCACACATTCCCTTCTGTTCCCGGCACCCCCGTCCCCTGCCCCACACGCTGACCGCGTGCAGTTTCCGGACATGTCAGTTGCCTGAGCCCCTTCTGTCCTCACTGTGCTGGGTAGACCTCGGAGAGCTCACGTCCGTCTGATGCAACAAACATTAGCTGGGCAGAGGAGGGGGACGGACCTCACAGCACCCTGGGTGGGTCCGAGTGCCCTGGAGCTGGTCGTGCCCAGGGACCCGTGGCCTTGTATGTGGCTGCACAGAGCAGGGGCTGGCTCAGCGTGTGCAAAACCCAGAGGCTCAGGGAGTCTACCAGGGTGTGTTTTGTTTCATTAAAGCAACAACACCCCTAGAGATGTGCTTCAAGTGAAGCAGAACAATGCTGACACCTTTGGGCGAGCCACTCTCTTGGTTCCTTGCCCTCAGACTTTGAGAAAAATCGGGGGCCGAGCTCAGAACCCTTTGTTCTCTTTGACACATGGATCTGTCATTCAGTTTGCTGGTGTCACAAGTGGCTTGCTTTCTTTTCTTTTTTTTTAAGATTTTATTTATTTATTTGACACAGAGAGCACACAAGCAGGGGGAGTGGGAGAGGGAGAAATGGGCTTCTCGCCAAGCAGGGACCCTGACACGGGGCTCGATCCCAGGACCCCGAGATCATGACTCGAGCGAAAGGCAGACGCTTAATGACTGAGCCAGCCAGGTGCCCCACAAGTGGTTTTCGATCGCGAGTCTCTGGGCTCCGGGAGCCGTCCGCTCACCCGGCTCCCTCTGGGCGCAGCCTTCATCCTTCCCAAGGCAGAGGTGTGCGTCCGGAACCACGTCCAGCCCTACATCCCGTCCATCCTGGAGGCCCTGATGGTGCCCACCAGCCAGGGCTTCACCGAAGTGCGGGACGTCTTCTTCAAGGAGGTCACCGACATGAACCTGAACGTCATCAACGAGGGCGGCGCCGACAAGCTGGGTGAGGTGAGGCCAGGCCCCCTGCCCCAGGACACGGCATGCGGGGCCTGGGTCTGCTCTGCCCCTGCCAGGCTGTGACTCAGGGTGTAACCTGTCACCAGAGGGTCTGCTGGAGACCAAGGGCCTGAGGGTGTGAGGCACTGGGGGGCAGCAGTCAGAGGAAAGGGGGATCGCTGACCCACTCCACCAGGCTGGTTACTTTAGTCTCAAAGGACTTAGAAGACGGAGGGAGAGAAGGAGGGGAGGAGGAATTAAGGGGAGGCAGAGGGAGGCGGAGGGGAAAGGGGAGAGGGTGGGAGGGAAGGAGAGGCGAGCCTCCGACGGGAAGCAGAATTACTTAGGTACCATTTCACATACCCCACCCGTGGAGACGGCATCTCTCTCTCACCTCTCCATTACCCAGTTCTCAGGGTGCACAGCCTTCCCCAGACCCCATTTTGGGGTACAAGGCTGCCTGACACCCCTTGTGGCTGTCAGGTGGGGACAGAACAGATCCCAGAATCTTAGGCCTCCTCTTCCATACCCCGCACTGAGGTCCACAGACACTATCGGAATTTGAGAACCAGAAAGGACCTTAGAAATCATGAGAAACTATCCCCTGAGTTTGAGGCTGCAGAGTCGGAGGCTCAGAGAGGGTGAGCGACTTGCCGAGGTCCCACAGTGCCCCAGAAGGCATGAGAGCCTCTCACCTGGCACCGTGGCTGCCGGACCGTGCTGCACCAGCCTTCGCGTCCTCATCCTTCCGGGCAGCTTGCCCCGCAAGGGCCGGGCCTGGACTCCCAGGGCCCCGGGCAGGCTGTGGTCTGCCTGCACTCCGGGGGCCCCGGCTCAGGTCCCTGCTCCCCTGCAGTACATGGAGAAGCTGTCGCAGCTGGCGTACCACCCCCTCAAGATGCAGAGCTGCTACGAGAAGATGGAGCCGCTACGGCTCGACGGGCTGCAGCAGCGCTTCGACGTGTCCAGCACAGCCGTGTTCAAGCAGCGGGCCCAGATCCACATGCGAGAGGTGGGCCCCAGCACCCACTGCCGTCTCCCTGCCACGGGCCCCATCTCCTGGGCGGAGGCCCTTCCCTCCGTGGCCTTACGCCCTGGCCCTGCCTCCTCCTGGGCCCCCCAGCAGCCGTGCTCAGTCCTGCTCTGGCCTCTCGGGTGCTCCCAGCTGCTGGAACACCCACCCCTCCGTTCACCTGGTTAGTCTGGACTCCTTTTTCCGGTCTCACTTTAGAGACCCCTTCGTCCAGGAAGCCCTCCTTGCTCCCCAAGCCCCTCCCTGCAGGGCCTAGGACCTCTGTTCCCTCGAGGCAGGGACTGGCTGGTGCCCAGCACTGTGCCAGCCCACAGCAGACAATGAGTGAAGATGGGGGTGAACATGTAGATTCACGCACAGGCCGCCTGTACACCTCCCTAGTGGACCTGGGGGGCACAGGCTGAGGAGCCCCTCCGAGGCACGCAGGGGGCGGCTGGGGTCACTCCAGGGCCCTCATGTGCCCCGCGGTGTGCCCTGCAGCAAATGGACAATGCCGTGTACACCTTTGAGACCCTCCTGCACCAGGAGCTGGGGAAGGGGCCCACCAAGGAGGAGCTATGCAAGTCGATCCAGCGGATCCTGGAGCGGGTGCTGAAGGTGAGCGGCCTGGCCCCCGAGCCCAGGCCCCGGGCTGGCACCAGGCTTGCTGCCCCTGCGGGAGGCACACAGACCCCCTGGCCTGGGCCAGGACTCCGAGGCTCGGGTCCATCCCCCGACCCCTCTTTCCTGGCAGAAATACGACTACGACAGCAGCTCGGTGCGGAAGCGGTTCTTTCGGGAGGCGCTACTGCAGATCACCATCCCGTTCCTGCTCAAGAAGCTGGCGCCCACGTGCAAGTCGGTGAGCATGCCCTCACCCCCCACCCCACCACAGCCCCCGCCCGCCACCCAGCTGGCCTGACCGCCTGCCCCACCCCTGTAGGAGCTGCCCCGGTTCCAGGAGCTGATCTTCGAGGACTTTGCCAGGTTCATCCTGGTGGAGAACACATACGAGGAGGTGGTGCTGCAGACGGTCATGAAGGACATCCTGCAGGGTAGGCAGGGGTGCGGGGGGCGGCTGCGGAGCTGCTTTGGGGAGCCTCACTGCCACGGGCGGGGGCGGTGATACGGATGGCTGCTGAGGGGTCGTCCTGGACCCAGCCCAAACCATGAGACTTAGGCCTGGGGGCTGGTTTAGGTACGCGGTGCGGCCTGGGGCGGGTAGCGTCATTTCTCTGTGCTGTCCTGCGTGTCAGCTCAGGGCTCTGGCATTACAGACAGTGTCAGAGGAGGGACAGGAGGACACAGTGGTGGCTTGGGCTGCTTGTTCCCAGCACTGAGGCCTGGGCTAATCGTGAGGCCAGAGGCGGCGATGGGGGTCCTACTTAGGCACCGTGGTGGGGGTGGGTGGCGGCCGCGGCCCCCACGCCAAATGTCCTGACCCCCCTTTTTGGCTCCGCAGCCGTGAAGGAGGCCGCCGTGCAGAGGAAGCACAACCTCTACCGGGACAGCATGGTCATGCACAACAGCGACCCCAACTTGCACCTGCTGGCCGAGGGCGCGCCCATCGACTGGGGTGAGGAGTACGGTGGCAGCATGGGGGACAGTGGCAGCCCCAGCGTCCCAGAAGCGGCCACTCATTCGGAAAAGCGACGGCGTGCCAAGCAGGTGGTGTCTGTGGTCCAGGACGAGGAGGCAGAGCTGCCGTTCGAGGCCGGCTCTGAGCCACTATCACCTGCGTCCCCGGACAGTGTCACCGAGCTCCGGGGCCTGCTGGCCCGGGATCTGCGAGCTGAGAGCCCCCAGCCGGCCGGCCCTCTGCTCAACGGGGCCCCATCTCAGGAGAGCCCCCAACCCACGGCAGCCCCTGAGGCCTCGTCGCCACCTGCCTCACCCCTCCGGCAACCCCCTCCTGGAAAGGCTGCGGACCTTGAGCCACCCAAACCCAGTGACCAGGAGACCGGGGAGCAGGTATCCAGCCCTGGTGGCCGCCCCCCCCATCCACACCACCACCGAGGACAGCGCAGGGGTGCAGACGGAGTTCTAGGCTCCTCCCCTGAGCTCCTGCTGGACATGGCACATGGGCCACCCCCTCTGAGACACTGGCAGGCTTGGCTCCAGGTGGGGAGCCCCGGATCTAGGCCTCGGGGTGGAGGGAGGGGAGGGCTGTTGCCCTTTTGGGGCGGGGGTGGCCCACCTGAGTCACTTTACTGGGTTCAGTCACACTTTGCTCCCTGTTTTCTCTTCTGTGGGATGATCTCGGGCTTCCTGCTTGTGCTGGGAGGTAGGCACAGCTGAGGGGGCTGAGGTGGCCGCTGGGTTCCTGGGTCCTTCCTTCCTGCCTTCTGGGGCCGTCACTGGTCTCACCCTCCTCCTCAGAAAGACGGATATAGAGTTCTTGTTCGCTGTGTTACTTGCCCACTGAATTCTCTCCCCTCTCGCCAATGGAGGGCGGCTCACTGGAACCAGGAATAGGGAGCGTTGAGGCCCAGCTCTGGGTCCAGACCACTGTCGTCCTCCATCCTGGCTGTGCCTCCAGAGGCCAGTTTTGGAGTGACACTGGCCTCACTTTCCCTGCCCTGGGTGAGGGGAGGTGCATGGAGGGGGCTTCAGGCTGGGGATGCTGGGTTGGGGGGATGCCTCGTGGAGGAGAAGGGGTGAGGGGCCGGGATTGGAATGAGAAAGGCCCAGGATGTGCTTGTCTGTGGAGAGGAAGTGTTCCAAAGGAGAGAGAGGTGAGCTGCCGGGGAGGTGTTACCGGGAGTGTCCCCAGTGCAGGCGGAGGTGGCTGCGGGAAGGGCTCTGGAAGCTGGAACAGGCTTTGCCTCCCCCTGCCCCCCCAGTGGAGACACACTCCAGGCTGGGACGGAGGGGTGACAGGCCACTCAGAGGTGGGGTTTGAGGGATGTGGGTTCTGTCTTCTGAGGACCACCCCCAAGGTACGCACTGTCCACCAGGGGAGCTGGGTACGGCTCCCCAAGGCACCACTGGTGGACCCTGAGGATGTGGGGTCAGGCTGTGGCTTGGCCTCTGCTGCCTTCAGTCACCAAGTCCTCTCACCCTGAAAGATTACCTTCTCAGATGTCCTCCTCCCTCAGTGGCTTATCTGGGGGCTGGGGATGAAGGTCGAGTGAGACAGCCCCAGCCTAGCAGCCCCTACCCCAGGGCCCGGGACCCCCTGGCTTCCCCAGTCCCCTCCGACCCCTTGATCTGCTTCCTGGGGCAGGGGCCTCAGGCCCCCAGGACGTGCGGCGGTGGCTGGTGCTCAGGGACCCCCCCCCGGTCCCCCAGCCTTCATCTCAGATGCCTCACTAACCTTCTACCACCACAGTCCGTATTCTGAGCTCTCCTCTAGTGCCTTCTCTTGGGGGTTTTTTCAATCATCCTTCCCAGATAGCATACTGAAAATATTATGCAAACTGTTTAAGCTTTACTAATCAATAAACGATTTAAAGCCAGTGGCCTGTGTGTGGCGCCGGCAGGGGGAGACCTGCGCCGGAGCTGGTCTAGGACCACCCGTGCACCAACTTCTTGGGCTTATCGTTTGACCCCCTCTCCATGCCTGGTCCGAGGATACTGCCCCGGAGATGGGGTGCAGGGCGCACAGGGGACAGGCCTGATGGCAGCTTGGCCTTCTCAGCTGGGTCAGTGCAGGCTGTTTGGAGCCGGGGAGGCCAGGAGGGGGTGGCAGCAGCTTTAAGGACCAGTCGCCCTGGGGCGTCCGCAGCAGGGAGAGGCCTCCGGGCCCAAGCCGGATTGGAACAGCGGTGTGGGGATTTTCGGGACTCCTGGTCACACAGCACTGACTGAGCCCTCGCCATGAGCTGAGCACTCCAGGAGGAGGGCACCCTTGTTACCGCCATCTCAGCACGGTGTAAACTGAGGCCCAAGCAGGTGTGTATCCCTGGCTGAGGTTACAGGTCACATACACCCAACCACCACACACACAGCTGGAAGGGAGGTGTCCCATGCAGGGGTGAAAGCAGGCCCACTGGGTGGGATGGCAGCCGGTCACCTTGGGGGACGTTGGCTTCCCTGGCGCCAGCCTGTCCACGGTGGCCAGTGGCTGAGGGCTGGTCAACAAGGGCCAGAGTAAAGGATGGCGGGGGCCTTGGGGCTGGAGACCAGAACATTCAGCTGCAGTCGTGCTGTGGTCCTTGGCAAGTCCCTGCACCCAGCCTCGGGCTCCATCTATAAAAGTGGGGGTGGGGGTGCGGGGGGCAGTCTCAAGTCTTTCTCCCTGGGCCTAGTGAGGAGCCCGCCCTGGTGATTTGCAAAACGCTATGCCCTGTGTGGCCCTGCCGGCCCAGGTCTCAGTCTCCCTTAGCTGAGCCCAGATTTGGGGCAGAGGGAGGGAGCCACAAGAGCTCCCAGGGAGTGAGGGGTAGGGGGTGAGACTGTGGGAAGAGGCCCCAGCTCTTGCCTGGAAAGTAGGACTTACAAGAGGCCTTCATCCCATCCCGTTTTGGCCTATAAGACAGTCCCAATCAAGTAGGGAAACTGAGGCGCAGGGGAGACAGGGCTCTCTGCCACTCCAGGGCCAGGCCCCTGCATCCAGCTTCGCATCTAGCATGAGCACTTAGTGCCCCCTGGTGGCCACCAGCCTGCATCAGGGCCCCTTCAGGTCCCTCACTGAATGCATGGGGAGAGGAGTCTGGAAGGCAGGCCAGGGTCTGAGGTGGCTGGAGGCGGAGCCCAGGTGCCCCCAGAGACCCACCTCTAGCCCAAACCAGCTGCCCTTGGTGGTGCCCGAACTTCCACAATAAATGTGCAGCTCTAAGCAAGCGCGGGGACACGGCTCCCAGAGCTGTGCAATGAACAAGCTGCCCAACGGCCTGGCCCAGGAGTCGAGATGCTCCCGGGCTCAGCCCCAGCGCCGCTGTGTCGGGCTCCCAGGCGCTGGGCCCTCGGCTCTTCTCTGGGATCGCGGTGAGGGAGTGCAGCACCCACCGCGCGCGCACAAACACCCCCAACCTGCTCTCTGGACTCTCCACGCCCTGCTCTGAGCCTGGTCGGTCTCTCCACCTGTAATCAGGGCAGATCTGGATAAATTGGCATTTGGGAACGCCTCTCCCACCTCTCCCCACTCCCTCTGCTTGAGGTAAGGCCCTCCCCTGCTCCCCCAGCCCTCACCCCCTCCTCTGCCCCACGAGGCCCCAGCGAGGACTCAGAAGGATCAGGCTGGAGGCGGATTTATTGACATTCCTGCTTCGGGTCAGGAGAGGCAGATCTGGAGAGCAGAGTCAGGAGGGGCCGGCGTGGCCCGTAGCACAAGGCCTGCACTCCGCATACACTGGCAAGTCCATCTTGAGGCCAGCCCATGGCAGTCTGTGGGGGACGCCCCACACTCGGCCAGGGCCCTCCCGCACTTCCACCACCCGACAGAGGGGGACGGCACTGTCCTTGTTACCCTGATGAGGACACTTAGGCTCCCGGAGGGCTGCCGAGGGCTGTAACCTGCCATGGTCGGACTGCTGGGAAGTGCCCGAGGCCAGGACCGTCTCCCTTCCCAGCCCAGGTGTGCTTGGACAGGAAGGGGGGCTGCTCCCAGGTCGTGAGCAAGGGCCCTGGGGCAGAGGGGGGTGGTCTCAAGCAGAGCAGGAGTCAGGGTCGGGTGGGCTGGAGCGTGGGGCCCCGGGGGGTGGCAGCTGGGACTCAGCCGCGATAGAGCCGCAGACACTGAGCGATCTCCTGGCGGCACAGCGGGCACGTGCGCAGGGGCTGGCAACACTGGTGGCAGCAGCAGACGTGGCCACAGTTGAGGAAGATCATCTGGGCCTGAGGAGAGACCATGGGCGCGTCTGGGTCCCACCCCGACCTGTCCTCGGTGATGGAGGCCCCGGACCACCTGCTGTCCTTTACCCTCAGAAGCTGCTACCACGGTCCTCACACCCCATCCGGGCGGCACACGAGTCTCTCCCGGCCACCTCTCTTGCACCCTCCACGCCTAACAGCTGCCCAGGAGACCACGGTGGGTCTAGCCCACCCTGCTGCTGGACCTGGAGGCTGTCCTCATTTTTGCCTTTTTGTGCATGGACCCGCGGCCCGACATGACGGAGCAAAAGCCACGCAGGCGCGCCTGTGCTTTGCTCCAGCACTTCCTCTTTGCAGGACTTCCCCTGAGCAAATAATCGAGGATGTGCTCCCAGCCCGTTCAAAGCTGCTCAGTACAGCACCGCTTGGTAGAGCAAACGGGGCAGGGGGTGGGGCAGGGCCACTGCCCCAGACTTACCTCCCGCTCCAGGCACACGACGCATTCTGAGGTCGGCATCTCCAGCTCCTCGGGGGGAGCAGACGGGGTCGCGGGCTCAGGAAGCTCCTCGGGGGCAGTGGGCACCTCCAGGGCCCCAAGGGCCTCAAGCTTGGGTGGGTTCGGCAGCTCTGTGAGGACCAGAGGGGCAGGCTGAGCCAGGGTCACGTCGCCATGATCCCAACCTCCCAGGGGGTCCCCCTGGCTCTGCCTGCTGTGAGTGCAGTGCGCCAAGGTGGGACACTCAGATCCACAGGAGGGCTAAGGCCCCCCTTATTGCTTCTGAGCCTCATTCCCCATCTGTAAGACAGGAATGCGGACTCGCTGGCAGGGCAGGCCACAGTGCTTGTGACCTGGGCTTCTAACCCCCAACCATTGCCGGGATCCTTCACAGCAACCCTGCAGGGAGGCCGAGTCGCTTTCACGGAAGAGCAGCCGTTTGCCCGAGACTATAGGACCCCCCCAACCCGCCACCTCCCGCTGCCAGAGCCATGGGGCAGCAGCCCTTGGTGAGGGGCTCTGAGCGGGGGACCAGGGGCTGTGCTCACAGCTTCTCTACCAGGTCTCCCAGGAGACCACCTGGGAGCTGGGAGAGGAATGAGAAAGCCCCAAGGCTGCCCCCTCACCGCCCTAGAGCAGGCATCCCCTGCCCGGGGCCCAAGAGCAGCGCGTCAGAATCGGCCCTTACAAAACATCTCTCATTATCACACAGCGTACACCAACAGCCCTGAGTCCTCTCCATCCCCGACGCCAGCCTGATCTCAGCTCAGCTTTTTCCATCTACCCTGTGGTTTGAATTATGAGTTTTCATAACTGGAAAAACTTGAAGATTTTCTTTTTTAAAGGCTGTTACAACACTAGGCTCTCTGAAGGTACCATGGTGCCCCCAAACCGTCACTGTAAAGGGTTCTTCCGTATTTAACGTGACACCAAGCGAGTTCTGGGAGCAGGAGGAGGATGCTAGGAAAAGGACCAAAGGTCTCCTGCCCCTTCTGCAGCCGAGGAGGAGCCGGTCCACTCAGCCCTCCCTGAAGCTGGGCGGCACCAGAAAGAAGCTGTAAGCAGCCTCGATGGAGAAGGACCTGCTGGTTGCTTCTGGCTCCTGCTAGCCCTGGGGATTTTTTGGGAGATGGTGGGAGGCAGCCATCATCTGAGGGGCTCAGACTGAAGGACACTTTTGTCTGCCAGGAGGGGGCCCCCAGCTCCTGATGCCAAACTTATCTGGACCTCCAGTGTGACAGGAGGAAGGGGGCGTCAGTGCTGGAGAAAACTGGAAGGGGAGGAAGGGGTCCATTTCATACATTACTTGCTATTAAAGAACTATTAGTTAAATGCACTTTTTAAGTTGGGCCAATGTCCCTGGCATAAAATTTTCTGAAAAGCTGGAGTCTGTGGACAAGGACGCTGCCATTGGCCCAGACACCTGGGGACCTCCTCCTCCCTACCAGCAACCAGCTCTTGCCTCATCCCTGCAATCTGGTCTCTGTCCTGAGCAGCTCCAGCCTGAGACAGGCAGTGTCGTGGGCTCGCCAGCCCGGCAGCCCAGGCATGCCGTCTCCTTCCATCCCTGTCCCAGACTCCCTCCCTTCTCAAGCCCCCTCGGCCTCTTCTCGGGGGAGGCATTAAGCTCGGTGGCCCAGCCATCTGCCAGCTATGTGCCATTATGGGAAACACATTAACATCTCGGTTTCCTCCTCCGTCAAATGAGGAGAGCAGCAGCACCCGCCTCACAGGCTGACGCAGGGTGACACGCCATGGTGCAGGTGCGGTGGTCAGCAAACGCCCAGCGCCTGGATGGTGCTCAGCACACGGGAGTCCCTGCCTCCCCCATATCCACTCCAATGTCAGGACAGCACCGAGGCTTCCCCGGGCCTCCAGACACAGGTGGAGTGCCTTTGTGACCCACCTTTACCCCTTCGCACGTCATCACAAACATCTTTCCGCATCCACATGGCAGGCCTGCCCCAGGCACAGTGTCAGGCACTCGGTACGGCTGGTTTCTCCCTCTATTCCAGGGCCCATGGTGTGTGGCTCCCAGTGTCCGTATGGTAGGTTTAGGGAAGGTTATAGGATAGGGCACCAGAAGGAACCTTCTCCCTCTTCCCCCCCAACCCCCACACCCATTTTTAGGGCCTGTTTTTTTTCCATTTGGGAAAGCTATTCCTTTAGGAGGAAGCCTTAAGGACTGGTAGGGGCTAGAACCGGCCCTTACATCTCGTCCTGAGACCCAGCCCCCAGCCCCTGAGCACAGTCCACAGTGAGCCTGGGGCCTCTGCTCAGGAGATGCCCCGTACTGGTACCTGGCTGGATCCTGGCTGCGGCCAGCAGCTCCCGCACCCTCCGCAGGATCTCGTGCTGCAGGCCAGCTTCCGAGACGCCCACCTGCCGCAGTTTAAGGAAGAGCAAGTTAGGGCCTTGGAGGCGGGGTGGGAGCTCGCTAGCCAGGGCAGAGCCACCAGGACCACCTCCTTCCTGGCTTCTGGCACCTTCACCTGGAAATGAGGAGGCCTGGGCCCCCGGGTCAGCATGTGGCAGTGCAGCACCCCAGCTGTGAAGGTGACCAGGAGGCAGGGAGGGACACCGAGGCCCCAAAGGGAACACCGGTAAGAGCCATGGTTTAGCGTGTGCTTGCCCTGCGCTGGGGCAGGGACCCCGCTGATGGCTTCACCTGTGAGACTGCACGTCCCCCCACGACAGAGGTGAGTCAGGACCCACAGTCAGAGTTCACAGGGAGGGGAAGGGAGTTCCCATTGAGACCAAGCTGCTAAGAAGCGGCAGTGTCACAGACCCTCGGGTGACACAGTGCCTGTGTGTGACCCATCAGTTTCTGGGTCAAGGACAGGCCACATGGCAGAGTGACAGCATGGCCTCTGGGACCAGACCACCCATGCTCGAAGCCGGATTGCTGGGTGACATCGGGCAAGCTACCACCTGGCCGTGTCACCACTTCCTCCTCTGAGAAACCACAAGGAGGATACCTGACTGGCCTGTTGGGGGCTTAGCATGGGAAAAGCCCTTAGAACAGCGCCTGGCACTGGCGAGTGCTACGGGGCTGTTGGCTATCCTCGTCATCCGGCTCTTTTGAAGAGTAAACAAACTAACACAACCCAGAGCTCAGCCTCCACCCAGGAGGGCCCCAGGCTCAGGCAGTGCTGTCCTCACGAGGGCTGCAAAGCTGGGGGCGGGCCAGGGCCGGACCCGACAACCTCCAAAGACTCATTCGGGGCCTACAACGTGAAGGTCCAGTGTGAGTGGGGGTAGTAGTCTGGGGTCAGACAGACGGTGTGCAGGTTACCCCCAGGGGGCCAGGGACCCACAAGGTGGGTGTTCTGGCTTGTCTGGAAGCACGGGGGCCCCGGAACACTGGTTCACAGAAGGTAGCGCCCAGAGCAGTAGGAGGGCAAGCCGACCCCCAGGGCCCGGACAGCGGCCTCACTCAGCCCTCCACCTGCCCCGAGGGGCTGCCACCTCACCTTGGCCAGGTCGGCAGGGCTCATGCGGCTCAGCGTGTCCAGCGAGATGCGGTGGTGGGCGAACAGGGGCAGGTAGTGTTCCGCCGAGAGATCCACCAGGAGGGCGGCCAGCTGGCGCTCCAGGCCCTCCTCCTGCAGGACAGGCCAAGGGAGAAGCGGACCGCGCCGCCAACAGGGCCTCGTTATTTGCAACAGCAAATCGAGGCTCTGAACCCATTTAATGGAATATACAAAACGCTTCCTTGCAACTTTTCCCACAAAAACGATGTGAGCACAGAGATAAAGACGTAAGCAAGCGCACTGCCCGTCTACCTGTTTAAATCAATGAGGGCAAATTCAGATACTAAATACTATGCACTTGCGTGGAAACGAGGAGATGACCTACTACGTGTGTGGCTGGAGAACTGCCCGTCATTATCGTTAGGAAAAAAAAAAAAGTTTGCCACAATAGTGTGTACAGAAAAGGACTTCATTTGTATTAAAAAACAAAAACCCAGTGTGTGTTGGGGGGTGGGAGGACCACATCCGTTCTGCCCACGGTGGGGGGGTTTGCAGGAGACTCCTGTGGCCTCCCCCCCGCCACTGTGCACACAGGCTCTGCCCCACACCAGAAGGAAGGCACCGCTCTCCCTTTTCCGTCCCCACCAGGGCCTAGCACAGGACCTGGCACGCTAGTCACTGGAAACATGAACGGAATGGAACCGGAAAGCTCGAGCAGCCGGGCACCCCGAGGCGCGGGAGGCTCTCCGAGACGGTGGAGGCCAGCGTCCTTACCTGCAGCTTCAAGGACAAGGGTTTCTGGTTCAGAAGCCGTTGATACTGAATCAGCCAGTAGTTTTCCTGCTTGGTTTCGCTTTTGGCTTCTAACTCTGTCTGCCAAGGACAAAGTCGGCATCATTAGTTACAAGTCAGTAAGTAAAAACTGTAATGACAGTGACGATCGTGACCAAGCCTCCCGGATGGTGGAGTACACTTGCTATTCTACAGAGAACTTTCGCAGCCACCACGGTCTCACCACTTAAACTGCTGATCTGGGAAAGGCAGGAAGTGCCTCAACCCCAGCTTCCTGCCGTGAACAATCTCAGCCGGGCACACCTGGGCTTGAGGCCTGACTCTGGGATCCGGGTGCCTGCCGCCAGGCTCTGCGGGACCTTGCTCGGGCTCATGCTCCGGTGACAAGCAGGAAGACACATAGGATTCTAAGGACAATATGAGCGTCTAGAGTGGACTTCACCCTTCTGACAGAGCTGGAGAATGACGGACATGCTACTGAAACGGATCCCTTCATTCCGCTGCGCACAAGTAGTCAGCGACTGCTGCTCTGGCCTCACGTGGCTCTAGGTGCGGAGGCCAGTGCCCCGAACAAATGATACAAACAGCATCAGCAGCTGCTACCATTGTCAGGACGCTATGTGCCATAGCCCGCTATGCACCCAGTTTCCTGAATTCACCATTTCCGTGTGGGGGTCTGACTTCCAGGGTGAGCAAAGGGAGGTTCAGAGTGATTAGGAACCTGCCCAGGGTCAGGCCAGGACTTGGACCCAGGCCTGTGTTGCTTGGGGACCTGCGGCCACACCCTGGGGGCCAGAGGAGATGTGGGCAGCGAGATTTCTGCACAGGCCTTGGGGACTGACTGTCCTCTGGTCATCCCTCCCAGACCTCGCTGAGCTGTGGACACAGCGCTCTTCTGGTGTGACCCTGACAGTCAAGACCTGCTGAGGTGGGGCTTCCTCCCCTGGGTGGTGAGTGCTCTGAGGGCCCTGGAGAGTGGAAGCACAGGGCCAGAGCACAGGGCTACTGATGCACCACGCTAACACGTGTTGGCATGTTAATACACAGTTTGCAGGCGATAGCAGCAGGGCACCACGAGCAATGGGCAGCTTCTGATCGGCCCACGCACACTACAGGGGCTCGTGTGGGGCTATGAAGCTGGTCTCTTCCCTGCTCTCTGCACAGGGCTCTGCCCAAACGGAGCTCAGAGACGACCTGGAGCACTAACAACACCATAGAATCGACAAGCCTCTGAGCCCTGGCCTCTGTCCCCAGTGCTCCGATGCACACGGGGTCTGGAGGAAATGATCCCCCCCTGCTCCCTCTAAAGGGGCTCTGCCACCCTGACAATGTGCCAGAGTCAAACCCACTTGGGTACAGGGGACAGCTGGGCAATGCCTGTCAAAAGCTTACAAAACAGGGGCTCCTGAGTGGCTCAGTGGGTTAAGCCTCTGCCTTCGGCTCAGGTCATGATCTCAGGGTCTTGGGATCGAGTCCCGCATCGGGCTCTCTGCTCAGCAGGGGGCCTGCTTCCCTCTCTCTCTCTCTCTCTGCCTGCCTCTCTGTCTACTTGTGATCTCTCTCTGTCAAATAAATAAATAAAACCTTTAAAAAAAAAAAAAAGCTTACAAAACAGCCTGCCCTAGACACAAAATTCTCTCCTGGGCATTGGTTTTGAATAAATACTCATGACTGCTCTCGATACTTAGCTATAAAGACAGAGAGCATTCCTTAGAAAAGTAAAGAGCTGGAAGTAGTCTGAATGTTTGGCAATGGGCTAGGATGGCCCGCCCGAATGCAGCCAGGAAGCACGTAGAGGACATTTGAGGGACACGACAAGAATGGATGCAAATGAGGGGGTTCCGAAGCGTGTGCCATCTGACGTTTACAGGGCACACGTGTGCACAGTCGTAAATATGCATCGTGGTGCTCAGAAAACAATCAGAACGTCAGCATCAGAGAACTCCCAGAAGAGTCTCCTTCGTGGGTCCCATCTTTTCTTTGATGAGCAACTGTTACTCGAATAACAAAAGCACCTCTAAGAATGGCAACGGTGTGGGGGGAAAGCGAACCCAAGTGTGATATGGAACACAGAAGCCAAGCGCACCAGAATTTCCCGGAGCTCCTCCTCTCGCCGCGTCTTTTCCTTGAGCAGCTGCTGGAGCAGGGAGCTCAGGGCCCAGCGCTGCTCGACAATCACCTCCTGCAACATAAGAGCACGCCCAGTGCCGCTGGAAGCTCACCGCTCTGGAGCCAGTAGCCGCCCCCCGCAGCGGCGGGTGGCGGGATCCCCCCTTTCATTTCCCAGAAGGCAGCTGGGATCCCACAGTGGGCCCAACTCAACTAGGCAGAGGGTTGGGGGACGGAGCCAAGGGGCCCCATTGCCCAGGCAACCCCTCCTCATCTTCATCCCGTGGGGGTCAGGCCAGGTGTGGGATCTAGTGACCGATGACAATGGAATGGTAAGAAACAGCAAACAAAGGAAATGACAAGCCACAGGTACATGACTGCAATGTCATGGACTACAGAGCACGTGGGCGGAAGCACAGGCAAGGAGGGTTGGCGTGTAACCCCACGTGGGTCTGGAAGGTTCTACCCAGATGGAGGCACATGCAAACTGGAGTGTAGTCCTCACTTGTGTCTATGTTCCACTCGTTTCTTACTCTTAGAAACCCATGGAGGCCCCCACATGGGAGCCCCACAAGCTCTGACAGGCGGAAGACATGGGCACCTGCCAAGCACGGGGCTGCATCTTCTCTGAGAGCTTCCCCTCCCCTCATCTCTAAGACCATGGCAAGGCTCACAAAGGTCTTTGCATTGGCTAGCTCGCCCCAGTGCGATGGCCCTAGGACACAGGCTGGGCCTGGAAGAGGAGTTCCTTTTGTGGAAGGGAGAAATGGAGGCCTAGGAGGGGAAGTGACCTGCCTTGGGTCACACAGCACATCTGTGGCAGACCTGAGACTAGGATCGTAGACCTCGGCACACTTTCACTGAGTTGAGAAGCCATGGGACAATTCAAGACTTCTCTGCTGAGGACAGACAGACAAAGGGACAGACAGAAGGCTCTGCTCAGAAGCCTGATATGGGGCCCAGGTCCTCCCACACCATTGATCCATCTGCTTTCGAACATTTGGGCAGAAATCAAAGCCCAGGTCCCAGACATGCAGTCCAGAATGCCGCCTGCTGGGCCCTACCGCCCCCACGCTGTACAAGCAGGACACCCAGGATGGAGCTCCCAGAGAAGCCACCTGCAGGGAGTGACACAGTAACAGCTGGGCCCTCTCCTCCAGACATCCTTGGGACACCAAGAAAGCTCCTTCCCCAGAGAAGGTCAGCCCGTGAGTTGAACCTGCACCCCAGAAGCATGGCTTAAAGACACAGGGAGTTCAGCAGTGACCCTGCTTCAAAACAAAGAAAAGGCAGAGATGGAGATGGGCCTGGGTGAGCCTTGGCAATGAAACCCTCCTTCCTCTGACCCTCCTGCTGAGCAACAGGCTGCCCCGACCCTAACCTTGGCCTGCGCTGGGCTCACCCCCACCAGGCTGTGCTCCCATCATAGCCACAGAGGAGCCTGCCTGCCTGCTGGGGAGCACTGCGGGGAGGGAGGCAGGGAGGAGGGGCAGGCTGGGAGCCCTACATACCTGAAGTGCCTCTGTGTCCAGGGACTTCCTCTTTACCTCCAGCTGTGTCAGCTGCAATAACTCAGTTTCTATTAACTTAATCTAAACAGAAGACGAAACAGGGTTTTTTTATTCACATTAAGCAAGGTTCAAATCTGTGCTGCTCTCTGAAGGCTAAGTGGAGTCTAAGAGACCTTTTGGGGGTGGGGGTTGGGAATGAAGGGGACTGGGGTGCCTCGGGAACCCCCTCAGCGGGGCTTTAAAAGAATTAGTTGTTTCAGGGCCCGAGTGCTTGGGCAGGGCGCGGACAGGCCTGGCCTTGGTGGGCCCATCCCAGGGAAGCTCACGGCTTATGGAATGGAGATGGTCCTGCCTTTAAGGTTCAGACCAGAGTGCAGAATGGACATGGGTCCTCACGGAGCCTGGCACTTGCTGGAGCCTCTTGCTTCCTCTAACTGCCATCACAAAGGAGAGCAGAGGGTAATGGACTGACTGAGAACAGCGATGGCAGCAGCTGAGGCTTCCAGAACATTCTGTGTGCAAGGCTCGTGCTGTGTACTTCATCTGCATCATGTCATCAAGTCTCCCCTAGTTATTAGCAGGTATTATTGCCTCCATTTTGCAGATGAGGAAACAGAGGCTCAGAGAGGTTAAGTATCTTCAAGGACACAGAGCAGGTTGGTGAGGGAGCCCTTTCCCAGGTCTCTCCCAGCTTGGGAACGGCTGGCCAGCTGCGTCAGAACCACCCACAGGGCGGATGCGTGGGGTCAGACCCCACAGCCAGTGACTTCTCCACCCTGAGCCTGTAACCCTCTGGCCCTTGCCCCTAAGTTCCTATGGCCCCACCAACCCCTGGTCAGAGGAATGAGCTTCATGTCCGGCAAGGTGGGATTGAAATTAAAGAGGGGAAGAAAAAGGTTAAGTTGGTTTGGGCCAAAAAAGGGAGAAAAGAATACAAAGAAAAAAAAAATAAACAAACATGCAAAAATGTAAAATTCAAAGTGTGCTGAAGAGGACGCGATGACCATTCCCGCAGCCTGAAAGCTCCCTCCGCCTCCAGCCCCCAGGAAAGCCCAGGGGGCCCAACACAGCTGGGTCAGCAGCAGAGTCCAGACCAGAGCACAGCTCCCTCCAGGCGAGGTGGCCTCCCCTGCCCGCCAGGTGGGACACCCCATCAGCCCCGGCTCCCCGGGTTCAGAGCTGATGGAGGCCGCCAGGGTGGAGCTGACTGCATGCCCGGGCGAGGGGCTCCTGCCTGGGGCCCAGTGGACGCAGGGGCTGCCCAAGCAGTGGCCCACGGGCATCCTGAGAAAGAGCGGAACCGTTTACACTGCAGGGGTGGTGCAGGGTTGGGGGGGGATGGCTGAGCTGGCACGTGAGAGGAGGGGACCAGTGGCGGCCGCGCCCCCAGCCCTCACCTGGTTCCTGATCTGCCGGTGCATCAGGTCTTTCTTCACCTGGAGGGCCTCAAACGCGGCCTTCTGCATGGCGCTCTGCAACGGAGACCCCGGTCAGCAGGTGCCCGGGGCCTCGAATTCCCAGGGGCCCGGGCCGGGGGCAAACACACAATGTGCTCAGAATCCTTCAGGGAAGACCTCTCCGTCTCAGAGGGAACGTAACTCCTCAGCTCACTTGTTCACATTCTAGAAATAACCCCTGTGCAAGGCTTACTAGCGCAGGACACTCCGTTCTCTAGCACGGAATTTCTGCACGGGGTGTCGGTGCCTTCACTGCCCCATTTCACGAGGAAGGTGAGGGGGCCCAGAGGGGCGCCATCTGGAAGCGAGAAGTCGAAAGGCCCTTGGCGCTCTCCTGCGGGCTCCGTCTCCACGGAGTGATCACCACGTCCTGCCCCGACGTCCTCACGAGGGAGGCTTCTCTAGATCTCAGAGGCCAGAAAACCACCCTGCTCTCGCCCTCCTCTCCTGAGGGTCCACCCAGTTCTAACCATACTAAGCCTCTTGGGTCTTCTAAGCTGAGCACAGGGCTCCATGCAGACTTTCCATGCTCTGCCTCTGGCTCCCTGTGCCCGTCTTGAGCCGCTGCCCTCACACCCTGGGCAAGGGCTCACCTCCTGCAGGATCTGGCTGATGGCTTTGCTCTGATCCATCTGCTGCCATGACAGAATCCGCTGGAACCGGTCATCCATTTCGGCCATGCTGCCAGAAAGACAGCAAATTAATTCACTCTCTGAACGTTTTCTGAGCACCTACCAAGTGCCAGGAACCTTGGAGGTCAAGGTAAACCATGTACTCATTCAACAATAACACTCAAGAAGCACCTGCTGGGGGCTACATCCTGGGCCAGGCACAGACATGGAGTCTGTCTTAGAAGGAAGGAGACAGATTCGGTGTGTCTAGCTCCTCTCATCCACCCCTCCATCAGAATCCCCTCTACAGTGCCCTTTAAAGTGGTGGCCTGCCTTCGGCCCTCCCACCTCCACCAGCAAGGAGCTCAGGACCTCCCAGGTGGGCCACTTGGGCTGTGAGAAAGCACTCCATCTGGGACAGTGACATCCATGCCCCACCTGACGCACCCAGCATTTTCCACCTCAGCCACAGATCTGCTCTTAGATCCTAGAACAAGTCTAGTGATTTTGGCACAAAAATCCAAATCCTGAAGCCCCACGTAGGTCCATACTTTGGCATATTCCTGGTTTTGAGTTTGTTTTGTCATAAATGTTATTTATTGGCCCCCTTTGTGGCAAACACTATGCTCGTTAAACCCTCTAACCACTCCAGGGGTAGGTACTGTGACTTATCCCCATTTTTCTGATAAGAAAATTGAGGCTCAGAAGGGAAATGGACTGACCCAACACTTCACAGTTACAGAAGAAGAGGGAACCTGAGACCAGGTCTATCTGCCACTAGGGCCCGCACTAAGCTTCATATTCTACCACCAGGAAAGGAAGAAAGTCCCCACACGTGTGAGGACATGGGGAGGCTGACGGCTGTGCCTATCACCTAGACAGGGGGAGAAACACCAGGGCTCCTGGCCTGTCTCTTAAGCACCAAGAGCTCTTCTCCTCTTCACCTGGCTGTGCCAACACGTGTGGCTTCTTCAACAGACTGACCCACAGTGATGCAGTGAACTTGGCCAGCCAGACCCAGAGCTGTCACCAGTATGAAAGCAACCTCTCACCATCCCCTCCAGGGCATGCCGCTCCCGACCTCTGCAGACCCTCGGAGGTCGAGGCATGCACCACGGTCAAGAGCACACTTCCACTCCGCCTGGCTTTGAACCCTGGCTCTGCCACCTGCTGGCTGGGTTTCCATGGGTGTGTCATAGTGTCTCTCTGAGCCTGAGCTGTGCTGGCAAAACTGGGCTAATGACACGGTCCCTCAGAGAGTCAGCGGGCCAACACACAGCCCTTGGCCAAGTGCCTGGCTCACAGGAAGTGCAGAAGTGGGAGTGACTGCTGTCTCGTTACCAGCTGCCTGACCCAATCGTGGGGTCCGGGTCCATGAGGAGACATGAAGAGCAGTCACCACTTGCCCGGTGCACGACCAATGCTGGGGCGGGGATGGCAATGTCCAGCGCTCACCCCACGGTCCTGGGCCCTGAGCTGGTGCCCCCAACCCAGGAAGCCTGTCCTTACCTTACCTGGAACAGGCCTGCTGGACCAAGCTCTGCCTCTGAGACTCGTAGGCCATCTGGACGAGCCGGCTCTTACAGCTCTCGGTCAGCATCTGCTGCATGGCGGCTGAGGAGACACGGGGGTGGGACTGAGGGCCGCCGCTCCTGGGGGCTTTGGGGGCTTCACCTCATCACCCGCCTCACAGTCACCCTTAAAAAACACTTTTTTAAAAAAAGATTTGAGAGAGGGAGAGGGAGAGCGTGCACGCATGCGAGCAGGAGAAGGGCAGAGGGGGTGGCAGAGAGGACCCCCAGCAGACTTTCTGCTGAGCACGGAGCCCAATGCGGGACTTGATCTCACGACCCAGAGATCATGACCTGAGCTAAAACCAAGAGTCAGATGCTTAACTGACTGAGCCACCCAGGCGCTGCCCCTCCACCACGCCGAAATTTTTAAACTGTGGAAGTAACTTAAGCTTGAAAAGGCTAATTGTAAAACACCGAGCAACACGCACACAAAATCTTCTATAATCTTATCACCCAGAGATACTGTGATATATGTTCTTCTAGTCAATTTCTAACGCATATTTATGCATTTTTAAAAAATTAGAATGAAAAACTGAAAGCAGACAACTCAGCAGGTATCCGTACACCCACGTTCAGAGCAGTGGGAGTCACAAACACCAGAAGGTGGAAATAACCCAAGTGTTCACGGACAGATGGATGAATAAGTAGATGGGGTGGGAGGGGAGACACACAGACGGAATATTTCTCAGCCTTCAAAAAGGAAAATTCTGGTACCTGCTCCAGCAGGGATGAACCCTGAGGACATCTGCTGAGTCAAAGAAGCCCGTCGCAAAATGACAAATACTGTAGGGTCCCGCTTACGAGGGTTACCTAGTGTTATCAGATTCGGCGAGACAGAAAGAGGAATGGGGGTCCTATGCAGGCTGGGGGAGGGGGATGGAGCATCTGTTTATCGGGGACAGAACTGCAGTCAGGCAGATGAGGCTCTGGGCCTGGATGGCGGCAGCCGCTCAGCAACGGGGGTGTGCTTTGGGCCTCAGAATCGCACGATTGCAAGTGGTTAAAGCAGCAGAGTTTAGGTCATGTATTTAACTATGATGAAAAAATCACGATGTGACCACACCGACCACATCACTCTCACTTTTCGAGACTGCCTCCCCACGTGCACGTGGCCGTGTGAGGCGCTGGCCACAGGCTCCTGCAGGACACGGATCACCAAGGTTTAGAGAATCCTCTATTTGGGGCGTTTGGTTTCTTTTGCAATTATTAAACGATAAACGTCCTTGCTCAAACATCCTTATGCAATTCGAATATTTCCTAAGATTAATTTTTGAAAGAGCACAGTTTTAAGGCCGTGAATGACAGGAGTTACCCTTTCTGCCCTCCAGAAAGATCCTGCTGATAGATATTCCCTTTGGCAGCGCCCAGGACAGCCCGATACCACACGTCCTCAACAAGGGTTATTACCTTCTCTTGACTTTATGTCGTTTTTATGGAAATTTTAGTCATAAAAATAGTACATGATCACTTTTGAAAAGCTACGCAATAAGGAAGCCCGAAAAGGTGAAAACAAAAGTCCTCGGTACTGACACTATTCCTAATTACTAGATTTATTAGTAAATATCCTTTTGGAGATGCAAACACAGTTTTTCTTTCTAAATGGTGGCTAACAGGGACCTTAAAATAAGAACATCAACAACACCTCATCAGGAGGGAGTGAGAGGAAGTGGCATATGCACGGGGTTTGGCACAGGGCCTGGTGCCCAGTATCCTGCCGTGCCCCGCTCCAGTATCTGGGCTAGAGAGGACACGGGCCAGCCAGAAGAATTAGTCCTTATTTTGAAAAAGGAGGAACAGACTCCTGGATTTCCTTGGCACATGGCTTGATGCTCTCAGCATTCAGGATCAGACAGGGAGCCCCTCCCACCACCATCAAGTGTGGACACAGTGTGGTGCCCCAGGACCACTTCTTGGGAATGGCAGGATAGGGAGCTCCCAGCAACACAGGAGGGGCCGACCACAGCTCTGGATAACAGAAACCCTATAGCCTTTGCGAGGTGCTCACTCAGTGCCAGGTAGCACAGCATTTGACCCTCAAAATGACCCAGAATGACAATCATGGTTCTCCCCATTTCACAGATAAAAACACAGAGGCTCGGAAGAGTTAGGGACCACTAATGGCCCTGAGGTCATATGGCTTGCTCTGGTGTAAGCCTGACCTCAGGGCCCTCCTGGACTTCACTGCCCCCTCTTGAGCCCATAGTACCAGACCTACAGGGAGAAGGCAGCCTCCCCCCGCCCCCCCCACCCCCGCCCGAGTCAGACAAGCTCTGTTCCCAGGACCCTACACCCCCTCCCCACTCACAGGCAATCTCACGTCTCCGCAGGTTCTCAGTCTCCTCCTGGGTTATGGACATCAACTGTTCCATCCTTATTCTAGGAACAAAAAAAATAAATAAAATCCATCCATTTACTCAGCAGATGTAACACTTCGGACAGGGAATCCCATCAGAGCAACGCCGCCTTCTCCGGGAAGTCCTCCTGGCCGCGCCTACCCAGACAAGCTCCTACCACACCCCGCCCTGCCGCCCGCCCCCGCTCACCGGCAGCCCTGCATCAAAACCTGAGCATTCCCTTTGGAAAACCGGCAAAGGACAGAAACGGCCACTTCACAGATGTTTAAATACAAGTGACCCGTAACCACCCAGAAAGAGGCTTCCATCACGGATAACGGGGAGGACAATCTCGCCTCCAGGTTGGGGGGTGGGGAGCGCTGAGCACTGGGGCAGCCTGAGAGGAGCAAGAACCGGAGAAGTGTCTTCTGGAAGGCAGTGCGGAAAGACCCGTCAGAAGGTCCTCTGAACGTTTCCTCCACAAATATTCACGTCAACACCTCCCGGTATGTTTCGGAGATAGTCACTAGAATAGTGCTGGTCGCTATGAAACTCCGGGAACTCACATGTCACAGACGACTAATTCAGGTACAATCACACAGTAAATAGCCTACAGCTATCGGGAACAAGGCTGCTGGCGCCGGGACACATCCATGATACCGAAAACGAACGTTAAGAAGCTATTGCGCGGCGGCTGTGTCCCCCCGGTAAGCTAGTCCTCGTGGCGCAGATGGAACTGCTCTCCAAAGGGGTATGCTTGGTTGAAAACAGCATCTGAGCGCCTCTGCCTCCAGCCCAGTCCCACAGGCTGCTCGAGGGAAGGTCCCACTGACACGCCCCGTGGCCCCACTCCAGGCACCCAAACAGGGAGAGGGCACTTGGTCCGCGAGTGCCAGATAAACTGGCCACAGCCGGGCTGGGCCCTGACTGCTCTCAGCTCCCGCAGCACCACAGCTCAAGGGGCCAGGTGAGGGGACTGCCCTGCAGTTGTTCTTCCCAAGCGGCCGGGGGCCTGGAGGGCCAGCACAGGGACGGCTGCGAGGCCCACGCTGCTCTTCTGGGATTCCTGGGAACCAGGAAGGATTCCAGATAATCCCACAGGGGAGAGGGGAAAGCAGAAAGGGAACTCTTCCCTCTCAGCTACCCTTTTTCTTAAAGAGGGGTGTCTCGATAAACCTGGAAACACGGAAAACAACTGAAAAAACCCAAAGATCACGGCCTCTAATTTCGGCCTCTCGGCAATGTTTGGTACGCCACTCAGGGTGGCTCCGTGTGCTCTGAGCACAGATCCAGGCTGTGTCTTGAAGAAATCAGACACTGCTTCACTTTAATTCCGGCTTCTTCTTTTCTACTTTGCAACAGACTGTTTCCTTTAATGAGAAATGGATTTTTTTCTGATTTTTTTTAACACTAGCCATACAGTGGACATTACACATGTTTTTATTTACGTCTCAGTTTTTCTCAGTGTTAAACTTGCAGGCAGTGATTCTTTTTAATTCAATATTCCCTAAGGAGGTGAATCCCCTTACAGCTTTAGGAAGACTTTTTGGCATAATCCTTGAGAATCCCAAGATCTTCTCTCCCTGAAACCGCTCCCCTGGCCCCAAGGCAGCACAGAGAGTGCTAGAGCGAAACACTTACCTTTCATTTTCCAGCGACTTCAAGATCTCAGAACTTTTCTTCTGCCTGTGGAGCAAACCCGAAGCGTGAAGGGCCACTACAGCTGTCACCAGTAGGCCTGTTCCCGAAAGAACTGCCCTCCCCGCGCTGCACTGGCTGCACAGAGGGGGCTTAGGAACCGGCTGGGGTTCTCGGTCCAGAACCTTAGGGCTCTGTGTCCTTGGGCAGGGACTCAGCCACACCAAGCCCCAACTCATCTGCAAAATGGGATCCTCATAGAAAAAGCCTCCCGGAGTACTTGTAAAGAGTGAACGAGAGAGTATACACAAAGTGCCCGGCATGTAAGCAGCACCTGATACAGGGCAGCTTTTCGGGACGCCTCGGTGGGGAGAGCACGCCGCTGGCACACGGCAGGCCTGCCGGCTCGCTCGGGCCCCATGGAACTGCTGCGTGACGGAGTGAGTGAGAAGCCAGGGAGGCCTGGAAACAACAAGGTCAAGGCAAAAGCCCGTTCTGGAGGCTTTCCACAAAGGCCCCCAACTAGAGGTTCTGGAGACCTCTATCTGGCTTCCTTTCCCCCCAAGCCCACCGAGACCGGCTCCTAGCAGCACCTATACCCTGGACAGGATTTGATAAGGCAAATCTCAATACAGCTGACCTCAGCCCAACGGGTCACTGGAACCTAAAATACTGGAGCAGGATATGATCTCAACTGTCTTGCTAAACCCAATCATTTCACAGACCGGACCCTCGAGAGGCACGGGTCCGAGGACAAGCTACAGACCAGGTCAGGCCCGGCGCAGACTCTTTTCTCTTCAGGCTGGTGCAAAAAGTGGCACCAAGGCCGGACCCTACCAACAAAAGCCTCAGGCAGGAGTTGAGACTGGAGACTGTAAGGGAGAGAGGGACCCCTGGCCTGGGCTCTTCAAAGGGTACCGACGTCAGGGAAGGTCCCTGGGTCTGGGGAGTGGGGGCCTGACCTCTGGTTCTCCTGCAGGAGTTTCTGGATCCGGCTGGAGATGCTCTGCTCCGTCTGCTTCAGCTGCTCCCGCAGCCGCTGGCGCTCGGCGTCCAGGTAGCGCTGCCGCGCGCTCAGGCCCTGCTCCAGCCGGGACTGCTCCTGCAGCGGACAGGCGGCCAGCCTGAGCTGGCAGCAAGGGGCCCCGTCCTGCCAGGCCTTTCTGTGTCATCTTGGCCCGGGTCTTCCCCTCGCTGGGCCCCGGGGTGTCCATTACACACGAGGAGGCTGGGCTAGGTGTTCTTCCAGGCCCCCCCCCCAGGCCCTGGAAGACCAAGGGAGAGCGCTTACTCCCACTGCCTCCCCGCTGCCCCCCGGCAGGAAGCGTGCAGACAAGCCCACCCCACTTGGCAGTTCACAGACCTCCTTGACCGTCTGAAGGATCTCGTCCTTCTGATTGTTGCTCTGCTGGAGGAGCTGGGCATGCTCTCGCTGCCCGAGTTCCAGACGCCGTTCAAATTCCAATTTCTCCAGCATCTTCTGTTCCTGCAAGAACATAGATCCTGGTGATGACTGGCAAGGCTCTGTGGTGTCAGGACCTGGGAGCAGGGTGAATCCATGCCTCAGCTCCCAGGAGTGCGGGCTGTAGGTCTGAACACTGAGCAACACCCTCCAATCCCAGCGCCTCCCATTACCCACCACCCCTGCACCCTCCACCACCCCCCGACCCTGCCGCAGGGCCCAACTGTAATAAAACACTGTTTACTGTCAGAGGCTAGGGGTTTGGAGTCTGGGGTCCCTGAGCCTCAGACTGCTCATCCGTGGTGGAGAAACCCTGCCACCACTGAGGCTGCGTAAGGATGTGGTGAGGCCAGGTATCAAGAGAGAAACTTCAGTTTGCCCTCTAATTTGGAGACAGGAAGAACTTGTTCCCTCAAATCTTTTATCATAGATCTTTGTTAAGAACAAAAGTGACCAAGGAGGATAGACATTTTCTTACCTTCCTCTTCTCATAGTCTGAGAACCTATTCTGGGGGGGGAAAAGACAGTGGTCAGGAGAAGGGGGCAGCAGTAGGATTCCCAGCCCATGGCCAGAATCTCGGGGCAACCAGACACGGGCTTCACCCTCAAAGCACCGCATCAGAGTGTGGGGGCAGGCGGGGACGAGTGGGAAGGATATTCTGATAGAGGATCCCAGAGGGTTCCAGCGGACAGCAGGGAGGAGAACCACCGGGCTTGGCACTCTGTAGGAAGCTCTTCAGGACGGTTGTGGGGGTGCAGCCCTGAGAAGGTGTGGTGCTCCACAAGGGGGACCAAGAAGTGGGATGTGTGGTTCCCTGTCTGTACGGTATACCTACAATGCCCCTGAACTCCAGCCCTCCAAAACAAATGCACAAAGGGACACGTACAGGTTCCTGCAGAACTGCTGTAAAGAGTGACAACCCTGGCAACAGCTCATTGACTTCAGTAAGTCATGGCGACTCCACGCAGCGGGTCACACAGCTATGGGGTAACAGGGCAAAGGCGGGGAGCTGCAGAGAAAGGGGCCTGCCACCTGCCACTGTGTGTGCAGCGGGATCCTGTTCTTGTAAGAACGGCAACAAAACTCAGCTCGGAATTTCATACCTGTTGAGATCGGACTCAGGAAGGAGATACGTTAACAGTTTGTGACGATTACCTCCGGGGGTGGGACTGGGGGGGTGACATGCGCTTAGTTTACATATTTCTGTATTGCTCAGACTGGTAACAAGGAGCAGGAGTTCCTCTTGTAGTTAAACATCAACAAACACACAGATATCTTTAAGTATTTCTAAATACTTAAATAAGTATCTTAAGTATTTTTGTATTTAGTTATCCAGCTTGGAGGCCAGGATCAATCTGTCTGAACTGGAAAAGCAGCAGATTATAAGGAAATTGGATTTGTCCTACGTGGAGGTAGGAGTAAAATTTTTAAAATTAACTTTTAACTTTTAATTATACAGATAATGTCGGAGTATATTATCCTTACAAAAAATTTTAAAAACAGCCTATACGGTAACCATAGACCATTCCCCCAGCCTGATCCTGGTTCCCTCCGGCCCCCCTGCCATGTAACTACCATTATCAGACCCGAATACACACATTTACATATAATTTGTGCTTCTGGAAAATATAGAATATTTGTGTGTGCTCACATATAAATGTGTTTCAATGAAGGCAAAATTCACATTCTGTAAAATTCATTCCTTTTAGTATGCAGTTCTAGTCACGTAGTGGTCATTGCAATCAAGACAGAGAACCACTCCTTTACCTCCTAACATTCCCTCGTGCTCCTTTGTCATCAAACTGTCCTCCTACCTATCCCCCTGCCCCCCCTCCCCAGTTAATGGCTATTGCTGATCTGTTTTCCTATACATTCAAACCTTCTTTCTGAACATAGAAGGGTACTATACTACCACCACCGTGTTCTGCAGCCTGCCCTTTTCACTTACCCTATCTGTCCTGTGATCCAAGTTTGGATAGATCTAGGGCATAGTAGGGACAGGACACAGCTGGCTCAGCTGTTGCCCACTGACAGACATTAAGGGCCTTCCAATATTTCCCTACCGCAAATAAGGCAGCAAGGAACACTCTTGCGAATGTCTCCTTGGACAAGTGTCTCTCTGGGTATGTGCCAAGAAGTGGGACTCCTGAATCATGGGCGATGGCCAATGCCATTTAAATTTCTGACCCCTATTACCAGGTTATCTTCCTCAGTGGGAACACCAGTTTCCATTTCCCAAGAGCAATTGATGAGGCCACTGTTTCCCCACACTCTGGCCAAGAAATTATCAAAGTGACATTTGTGCCAATCTGAAGGAGGTAACAGTATTTTGTTGTTTTAGTTTACTGGTCTCTGATTACTAGGGGAATTGGGCAATTTTTTTTTCATGTTTACCGATCATCTGTATTGTTTTTTGTTTTAAGTTTTTAAGTAAGCTCTATGGCCAACGTAGGGCTTGACACAAGACCCTGAGATCAAGAGTTAGGTGCTCTACTGACTGCCCAGCCAGGTGCCCCTCATCTGTACTGGTTTATTCTGTAAAGTACCTGTTGACAGATCTTTGGCTTTTTTTTTTTCTTTTTCCCCTCTCGGGATGGTTTGCTGTGTTTTAAGGCTTTGAAAGAGCTCTTTATATATTCAGCCTGCTAATCCTGCTTTAGAAATGTTTGCTGCCTTCTCCTCAAGGATTTTGATGGATTCCTTTCTCACACTGAGGTCCTTGAGGAGAACACAGGCAGCAACCTCTTTGACCTCAGCTGCAGCCACTTCTTCCTAGGAACATCGCCAAAGGCAAGGGAAGCAAGGGCAAAAATGAACTATTGGGACTTCATCAAGATCAAAAACTTTTGCACAGCAAAGGAAACAGTCAACAAAACCAAAAGACAATGGACAGAATGGGAGAAGATATTTGCAAACAACATATCAGATAAAGGGTTAGTACCCAAAATCTCTAAAGGGCTTAGCAAACTCAACACCTAAAAAACAAATAATCCAATCAAGAAATGGGCAGAAGACATGAACAGATATTTCTGCAAAGAAGACATCTGGATGGCCAACACACACATGAAAAAGTGCTCTCCACATGACTTGGCATCAGGGAAATCCAAATCAAAACCACAATGAGATACCACCTCACACCACTCATAATGGCTAAAATTAACAAGTCAGGAAATGACAGATGCTGGCGAGGATGAGGAGAAAGGGGAACCCTCCTACACTGCTGGTGGGAATGCAAGCTGGTGCAACCACTCTGGAAAACAGCATGGAGTTTCCTCAAAAAGTTGAAAATAGAGCTACCCTACAACCCAGCAATCACACTACTGGGTATTTACCCTAAAGATACAAATGTAGTGATCCGAAGGGGCACTTGCACCTGTTTATAGCAGCAATGTCCACAATAGCCAAACTATGGAAAGAGCCTAGATGTCCATCAACAGATGAATGGATGAGGAAGATGTGGTATACATATACAATGGAATACGATGCAGCCATCAAAAAAAATGAAATGTTGCCGTTTGCGATGACATGGATGGAACTAGAGGGTATTATATTTAGCAAAATAAGTCAATCAGAGAAAGACAATTATCATATGATCTCCCTGATATGAGGAAGTTGAGAGGCAACATGGGGGGTCTGGGGGTAGGAAAAGAATAAGTGAAACAAGATGGGATCAGGAGGGAGACAAACCATAAGAGACTCTTCACCTCACAAAACAAACTGAGAGTTGCAGAGGGGAGAGGGGTATGGGGTTATGGACATTGGGGAGGGTATGTGCTCTGGTGAGTGCTGTGAAGTGTGTAAACCTGGCGATTCACAGACCTGTACCCCTGGGACTAATAATACATTATATGTTAATAAAAAAATAAAAAGTTAAAAAAAATTAAGTACAATAACGAGATAAAAACATAATTAAGTTAAAAAAGAGAAATGTTTGCTGCAAATATTTCCTCAGAGTATAAATTGCCACGATTTCCCTGGATAGAGATCTTCCTCCTCTCTAGTTCTCACTGAGCTGCCAGAAGAAAGATAAAACTCCAAAGGCATGCATGGTGGTATGTCCAACAGGGAAGGGGGGGCACCAGGGAACCAGAGTTAATAAAAAGTCCCTGGAAGATAAGAAGCCAAACTCGGCAGTTGGTCCCCCTCACTGCTGCCACCCTCCACCCCACCATCAGAGGCCTGTGGGCCCTCTGTGGGAGTGCAGTTGGGGACAGAGGTGGCTTCTCATTGGCTCCCGTGTCAGGGACTCCTGGCTGACGTGGCAAACTCTGACCAAGATTCCTCCTCGGTGCCCGTCCTAGGCTAGCTCACCCCTGGGACCAGGGAGGGCCGGCCCCTCACTGTGCTGACATGTGTGCCTCCCTGACTTCTCCACAGAGTGGAGAGCATGACAGGCGTTCTGTACAGCAAGGGGCACCGAGGCAGGAAGTACTTGCTGAGAGGCAACAATGAACAACACAGACATGATCCCCACACTCACAAAGCTTTATCCAGCAGGAGAGACAGACATAAGTCATCTCCCGTGTAATTCTTCATTTATGGCTGTGATAAGTGTTCCCAAGGAAACGTGGGGGCACCCGGAGAACATATAGCAGGGGACCTGACCCGGGTTGATGTGACAGGGAGAATTCTCAGAGGACATGGGATTTGGACACAACTGGAGGAGAAGGTGGAATTAGCAAGAGGTGAGCCAGGAGAACTCCAGATTGGGAAGGGGGAGAGGGAAACTACAAAGGTCCTGAAGGGTTCAGGGAGCAGAGAGGAGCCTGGTGCACCTGCTGTGTGGGGAGATGGCGCAGGCTTGGAGAGCATCTCAGCACACTGGTCTGGACGGAGGTGAATGCTAGTTTGGTGGAGGAATTCAGGGCCTACAGCTCTGAACACCCCTCCCAATGACCAGGTTCCCTGCACACACACCCCCACTCCTGTCCGGAGCCAGGTACGCCTTACCTGCCACTCCACCTCCTCCCTGCAGAGTCTGTCCGAGGGCCCGTCTGGGCTGTCCCGGGGGGTGTCGCCTCCATCCTGCTCCAGGACTGGCAGCAGGTACTGAGAAGGGGGGTAGTATTCCAGCCCTGACTCTGCAAGAGAGGACACAAGCTGATCAGGAGGGAGGGGACAGAACCGTCAGCTCCTGCAGCCTCTGACTTCCTCCCCAGTGTCCTGCCCCAGCTGCCTGGTCCCCTGCTCCCCTGTCCCGGACTGAATCGAGCCCTCTGTCTTGCTCACTAGTCCTGATGCCAGGCCCCGGAACTTGGAAAGTGCTCAAGAAGTGTCAGCTGAGCGAACAGACACGCTGGCCAGCCACCTCTTTATCATCCACGTGAGAATGAGGTGATGAGAAAAGCCTGGAGGAGATTAGTGGAGAAGCCTGATCCACCATCTCCTTGCCCAAACCTTGGGCAAGATGCTTGCCTTCTCTGGCCCTGGATACTCTTCTCCTGTAGAACTTGACAGGGTTTGTACTCTTTACCCATTTTTGAGTGGGTTGCTTGCCTTATTGTTGCCGGTTTATAGGTACTCTTTATATATTGTAGCTAATAATCTCGGGTCCATAATATATAACTGGGACCCAGCCAGGCTCCCCACCCTCTTAAATGTTTTTTAAAAACATTTTTTTAAAACCCACAAGAGAGGGGCGCCTAGGTGGCTCAGTGGGTTAAAGCCTCTGCCTTCGGCTCAGGTCATGATCCCAGGGTCCTGGGATCGAGCCCCACATCGGGCTCTCTGCTCAGCGGGGAGCCTGCTTCCTCCTCTCTCTCTGCCTGCCTCTCTGCCTACTTGTGGTCTCTGTCAAATAAATAAATAAAATCTTTAAAAAAACAAATAAAATAAAATGCATTTAAAAAATGTTTTAAAACCCCAAAACTTTACATAAGTATGTTTACCTACTACACCATGTAAATAAATTGAAGAATTATTTTTTCTTTTTTTTTTTTTTAAAGATTTTATTTATTTATTTGACAGAGATCACAAGTAGGCAGAGAGGCAGGCAGAGAGAGAAAGAGGAGGAGGCAGGCCCCCCGTGGAGCAGAGAGCCCGATGCGATGCGGGGCTTGATCCCAGGACCCTGGGATCATGACCCGAGCCGAAGGCACAGGCTTTAACCCACTGAGCCACCCAGGCGCCCCGAAGAATTATTTCTTAATTGCGTAGTAGGTATACACACGTTCACTGCTTTATTCTTTGTCTTCTGTATACCTAGAAATTGCATAGCTGAAAACTTTTTAAGGAAGATAAAGGGTTTGGGCGGGGGGATGGGTGGGAAAGGTGAAGGGGATTTAAAAGCTCGGTTAGTCATGAGGATGGAGTTACGTACAGAATTAAGTGCTCATGGGCACCTGGGTGGCTCAATGAATTAAAGCCTCTGCCTTGGCTCAGGTCTTGATCCCAGGTCCTGGGATTGAGCCCCGCATCAGGCTCTCTGCTCCACGGGGAGCCTGCTTCCTCCTCTCTCTCTCTGCCTACTTGTGATCTCTGTCAAATAAATGAATGAATGAATGAATGAATGAATGAATGAATGAAGTCCTCATATTGTACGCCTGAAGCTAACACCATGTTAATTACACTTGGAAGAATTTGCCTAGTTTGATCATTGGCCAGGGTATACATTAGAATCACCTGCTGCTCGAAGACCGCTTTGGTAGGTGTGTGGCCCGAGTATCCTGTCATGGGATGTGTAACTTTTTTTTAAACTGAAGTATCACCTTCATACAGAAAAGAGCAAAAAGTCTTCATGGATAGCGAGATGAATGCTTAAGAGGGAAATCATCCCTATAAACAGGACTAGGTTTGGGGAGAGTGCTCGTGTGCTGATAAAAGCGTCCGGCTTCTCTCACGGCCCATCGTATCTGTGAGGTTCACCGTGGCGGTGGCAGTTAACACTGCTTTTGTTCTTTTTTTAAAATTTATTTGACAGAGAGAAGGACAGTGAGAGAGGAACACAAGCAGGGGGAGTGGGAGAGGGAAAGCTGGGTTCCTGCTGGGCAGGGAGCCTGACTCGGGGCTCGATCCCAGGACCCTGGGACCATGACCTGAGCGGAAGGCAGACCCTTATCGTCTGAGCCACCCAGGCACCCCTGGACTGCTTTTGCTGTGTTTGAAGGCGGTGTCGTATTCGCGTGCGAGTCTGAAACAGTGTGTTTACGCATCCCACCACCAATGGGCACTTGGGGTGTATCAGGTTTGGGCTGTTATGAACTGTGCTGCCATCAGTATTTCTGTACTTGGCTTTCTGGCATATACTCAGATGCACTTTCCCTGGACACACACGTAGGTGCAGAGTTGATGGGCCACAGGGTGTCTGAATGTTCAGCTTGAGATGGTAACAACCATTTTTGGAAGCAGTCTCCGACTCCCATACCCCCACCCATGGTGGATGGGAGCCACTGTTCCACACGTTTGCTAGTTCTTGTACTGACATTAATTGAGCTAAAAAATTTTAGGGGGGTGTGGTAGGACGTGGTAGTGTCTCTGTGTAGTTTTAATGTGTTTTCTCCTATTGACCAAAAAGATGTTGAGCATTCTTTTCAGACACTCTAGGCCATCTGGAGAGTCTCTGTAAAATTCCTATTCAAGACTTCTGACAACGCCTTTTGCTTACACATCTTTTTATCTGCTAGAAACAGGTGCTTTGCTGGACATGCATGCATTGCAAATATCCTTTCCGACTTCATGGCTTGCCCTCTCTTTTCCCAAATGGTGTCTTTTTAATGTTAGGGAAATGTAATTTATTAACTTTTTATGGCTGGTGTTGCCTGTCTCCTATTGAAAGAAGAAATCAAGACTTTTTCCCCACGTGGATATTCAACTGATCTGAAATCATGTATTGAAAAGACTTTGCTTTCCTTTCTTGTTGCTTTGCAATTGCACCTCTGTCACCCACAGATCACATGGATGAGTCTTGGCCGTGTTCTACCAGTTCCCCAGGTGACAGGATCCCCTAATTAAGACAATCTGCCAGAAAGGAGATGGCCAGGTACTCTGCCCTCCCCTCTGGGCACCTAGACCAATGGTGGCCCTGGGTTTTAGCAGCACTGTCACTCCTCCAAGTCCAGTCCCCTGTGGCCTCAGTCCTGGATGACGCCAATGACCTCCTAACTGGTCCCTGGCCTCCACGCTTGCTTTCTCCAGGCCCTTTTCCCTGCAGGTGGAGTGAGCCCTCTCCTGTGTGACACCAGGCCCCGATGGCCTCTCCAGCCTCCCACCCACCTCTCCTCCCTTTGTGTGGGTGCCCAGCCCCCCAGCCTCCTCGGCCGCATGCTTCCCACCACTCTACCCTTCTAGGCCCTTCAACATGCCTCTGCTCCCACCAGCCACAGCCTCCTCTCCTTCCTAAGTCCCAAATGCCCTCAGGTTTCAACAAAGACACTTTCTCGGACCTTCCCTGACGCCCCAACCTAACCAGTAACTCGATTTCCTGTGACCATCTGCTTTGCCTGTGTCTCTTGCCAGATGTGGAGAGTGCCGAGCAGGCGGGGACTGTGGCCTCCTCAGTCTCTGCCATGCCCGGAGTCTGGGCTGGCACAGGACTGCTGCTGGGACCATGCTTACTCGCTGAGCGAGGAGCCAGGGTGTCTGGCTTTACCTTTGCAGAGGAAGTGCTGAATGGCCTGGGTACCAGCACTGCACACCTCCTGGGGCGGGAAGACCATGCACGAGGCGTCGAGGCTCAGAGTCTGCAGACACAGGGGAACCTCTTTATACGTATTGTCAACACAATCCCAAAGCACCTGGTTTAGTTACGAGGCTGTGTTTACGGTCTCCTCTGTCTTGGTCCTGCCACGTTCCCAGCACTTAAATAGTGTCTGCTGTGTAGCCAGCACATGATTCGTGTTTTTGGAGGAAAACATAAAAAAGTGGGAAAATAAGGAAATTATAGGACAACATACAGAATAAGATTCCATGTTTGTTAAAAGAAACACTCCTACTCTCTCACATTAGCATACTTACAAAAAATTTCGAAGAAATATACATCAAACTCAAAATGGTTTCCTCCAAAGGGTAGATTCTAGAGTACTTTTTATGTGAAATTGGAATTTTTTTTAACAATATGATTTTTTAAGTAAAAAAAAGCCCCTAATGTTTATATGGGCACATATGCACCTGCTTACGGGTTTATGAGGCCCAGGAAACAGGAACCTGGTTCAGAAAATGCCCACAAAGCCATCCACAGCCATGCTGTAAGGTTGTCTGTTGTTTTCGTTTGTCTGTTTGTTGAATCGAGCCCTCCTGCCATCTGCTCACTTCTTTCCAGAGGCCCCCTGGGAAGCTACCTAAGCCCCTTTCAGGAGCCCATATCCTCTCTGTCTGGAACAGGTAGGCCTGCTTCAGGGGAAGGCCTGAGGCACCAGGCTGGAAGTGGCCGAGTGGGAAAAGCAGCTCAGATGCCAGCCAGCCCTGGCCAGCACAGCCCTTCTCCCTGGGGAGCCCGTCCTGGAGCACAGGATCCGACTGCCTGGGTCTGGGGAGCCCGAGAGCAAAAAACCCCATCCTGGGAGGCCTTACATAAAGAATATTCACCCACATGGGTCATACTGGTCACCAGTAGTAAAGTGTGCTGGGTGCTGGGGCTGCACCACCCAGTTTGGTGGCCAGGAGCCACGCAGGGCCACGTAAGTTTGCATTTTAACCGACTAAATTGAAAGTGAATTTAAAGCTCAGTCCCTCAGTGGCACCAGCCACATTTCACGTGCGCAACAGCCACACGTGGCTGGCGGCTATTTCATGGGACACACAGATTGCGGGTGTCCCCATTATCAGCAGGAGCTGCAGCTGGACGGCGATGCATGCGGTCATTCGGCCCTGGTGTCACACCCCAGTTTGACCTGTCCTGGCTGTGTGCCCTTGAACAGGACAGGTGACTTCCTGGAAGCTCAGCTCTATCAGTGTTCAACAGGCATGCTATCACTCAGCGGCAGGGCTGTTCGATGGGTGATAGGAGATAACACGAGAGAAAGACCTTGGCCTTAACCAAGAATGGCCATTTATGGTCTCCTCCTGAACAAAGGTGCCACCAAGAAGCTCAAAAGCTTTTTTTAAAGAGTGGATGGAAAGCACATCACTCTCAGAGCTCCTGCCAGCTGACTTAACGAGGCTTTCGGACTCAGTGACGCTGTGAGCTGTGCGCTCAGGCACGGTGGCCACTGAACACGTGGGGCTTCGTCTACTTCAATATCAACAGGGACGCCTGGGTGGCTTAGTTAGTCCAGCGTCTCACTCTTGGTTTCAGCTCAGGTCATGATCTCAGGATGTGAGCTGGAGCCCTGCATGGGGGGGGGGGGGGTCTGTGCTCAGTGGGGAGTCTGCTTCCCTCCCTTGCCCTTTGTCCCTCCCCCTGCTCATGTGCACATGTGCAGCTCTCTCTCTAAAATAAGTAAATAAATCTTTAAAAAGACTGTACACGTAAGCACGTACTTCCTCGGTCATGCTAGTCACACTTCCAGTGCCTGAGGGCCACGTGTGGCTAGTGGCTACCGACTTGGGACAGCACAGTCACTAGACATTTCCATCCCTGAAGAAAGTTCTGTTGGACAGCACTGTCTCTGCCGCCTGCTCAGGGAGAGGAGCTGACCATCCTGTCCCTTGTCAGGCTGGCTGCCACAGCAGCAGGGATCAGCCCTTGGGGTCAGCCCCCTTCCTTTGCCGTCTCCATGCTCCCCCACCCACTTCTGATACAGATGCTGGTGCTCAGCAGAGGATTCTGGGAGGCTGGTCAGACCGTGTCATCATGGGTAGAGAAGTCCCTGTTCCGGAAGGCTGAGCTGCACAGAGGTGGAGAGCACAGGCTCTCATTCAGACTGCCTAGTGTTCAACCCCACTCCGCTGTCACAGGCTGTGCGGCCCCTGGGCAAGCTCCTTAAACTGTCCATGGCTCAGCCTCTTCACCTGCAAACGGGCCCAGCAGTGTCTGGCTTGCAGGGTTTTCCTGAGGATTCAGGGAACTGATGCAGGTTAAGCACCCAGCCTTGCAGGCCCCAGATAAGGATGGGCCATCTCATCCTCAACTGTTAAGTGCCCCTGCCTTCCCTGAGCAAGCAGCCTGTATCCGCGTGTGTTAAGGCCCGGACTGCAGACCCCCCAAAAGCACATACATGAAGTTCTAATCCCCTGCACCTCAGATGCCACTGTATTTGGATATAAGGTCTTTAGAGAAGTAAACGAGTTCAAAATGAAATCACCAGGCTGGGCCCTAATCCAGCATGACTGGTGTTCTTATAAGAAGAGGAATTTGGACATAGGCCCATACAGAGGAAAGATGCTGTGAGGACACATGGAGCAGACCGCCATCTACAAGCCAAGGAGAGAGGCCTCGGAAGCAGCCAACCCTTGATCGTGGACTTCCAGCCTCCAGAGCCATGAGAAAATAAATCTCTTTTTCAAGCCACTCAGCCTGTGGTACTTTGTTACGGCCACCCTAGCAAACTGATACAGTGACCCAGGAAGAGCTTGTCCTCCCCCCACCCCCGCTCTGATGAAACTCAATTTCTACACCTCCCAGTGAGGCTGCTCTCCCTGTCACGGAGCTCTGGGCTCTTCCCAATCTGGACCCTCCAGACACCGCAAGCGCCCACCACATCAGATGCCCCATTTTTCCCTTAACACACCTTGTGCTGTCCACTCTGTGCTCTCCGTACTCTCCCCTGCACCCAAATGCCCCACTACCCGGGTCTACTACTCTAAAGCGAGTTCTTCTCTCCAGGCCCAACTCAAACACCCCATCTTTCACAGACTATCGACACCACCAGAACTCAGTGTCCTGTCCTCACTCCAGGAGCGTGTATTTCTGCCACCATCATGGCAGCAAGAGCCACATAATGACAACCGCACGACATCGCTCTCTCTGTGAGCTCCCAGGAACTGAGCCTTGAGATCTCTGACAGCCCAGCACCCATGACCAGGGCAGGCATTCAGGAATGTGCGGGGACTGTGGCCCAGAGAGAACCCCAGGCAGGAACGGCTCCGCACTTACTTCCAGGGTTCGAACGTGTGCCAGCAGCTGCGGCAACTTCTGAATGTCGTTCTCACTGATGTCAAGAGTACGTAAGCTTCGAAGTTCCCCCACGGTGTCTGGAAGCTCCTTCAGCTTGTTATCTGGAGAGATCCCAATGGCACAGCTCAACCCCCAAAGCCTCTCCACCAACTTCCTGCCCGATGCTGCCAGGACTCGGGGCACGTGGGTGCCTCCCTCTCACCCCGGGATGTGCGCAGGTCCCAAGACCTGAGGTTCCAGGAGGAAAAGCACAGGGGTCCAGTTTTGGTGACCTGGGTTCAAGTTCTTACTCTACCACTTATTAGCTCGGTGCCCTCATGCTCGGTGGTTCCCAGGAGGAGGGTTCTGTGGATGCTGGCCGAGACAGCCCAGCGCCGACTGAAAGTCACATGGACAGTGCGTTCCGGCCCCCTACCTTTCACATTGAGGGTCTGGAGCTGGATCAGGTTCCCAATGGAACGTGGGAGATACGTCAATTGATTCCTTTCCACGTTCAAGACCTAAGACAGAGGGAAAAAAATGACAGGAGAACCCAGACGCAGAGAACAACGTCTACCCCTGCTTCAGGCCAGGCAGCATCTGGGCACCACACACATCTTTAACTCCCCTTGACAGCCCTGTGAGGAGGGCACTGGTTTTTATAATCCCAGGTGGGAGATGGGAACACAGGCTCAGAGTGAAGTCACGTGCCCAAGAGAGCAGAGCCAGACCTTGAACTGGTTCCTGGGGAGGACCCATCGTTTATGCAGACCACAGAATGCCCCATGATGGCCCCACAGTCCAGCAAGGAGGCAGCAAGGGACAAGCAGGTTCAGGGACCGGGGGGGAGGCAGCATGCGACAGGGCTCTAAGAATCCCAGTTCTGGGGGGAAGGAAGCTGAGCTGCATGAAGGCAGTGGGATCTGCTCAAGGTCTCAAGGCTGGCAGCTGGCGGTGCCCAGACGGGAAGGCAGGCTCGGCGGATTCTGCAGGCCGCGCTCCCTCCCGGATGCCGCACTGTGAGGGAAGCAAGGCCAAGAGGCCGGCACGCTAAGTACTCATTAAACATTGACGCAATGGAAAGCTAAGCGGTCATTAAAAATTATGCGGCAGATGAATATTTAATGAACCAAAAGATGGTTAAAAAGGAGTTACTGTCAGGTATCCAAAAGTTACAAAATGCTCAGTGCAACAATTCTATAAAAATATACACGTCCCCAAAGATCCTACACCTGGGCATTCACTGTGGCTTCCTGAGGGGTGACAGCTCCCCACGTTGTGTGCCCGGGGGCTAGCGACAGGCATCCCTCTGGACCTCAACTTTCTCATCTGTAAAATGCAGTGATGTCACCCACATAGTAGGGTTGCCTGTTTCCCTCATTTCTTGGTCTCCTCCACGTTGGAGGCAGGGTGCGAGGAGGGGGTGCTGCCCTCCAAGGACTACATCTCAGTCAAATCAGTAAAACCTTCCCGAGGAACTACGCGCTGCCATCAGTGCTCCCGCGGCAACCAGCCAGGCCTGAGACAGGGGCCCAGAAGGTGGATGTACTTTGACAAGGAGGCCGGGAGGATTCCGAGGGACATCGGGGCTGAGAGAGGATGAGCGGCTCTGGCGGAGGCGGGGTCGGCATGGAGAGGCCCGCCGCAGTGCGCAGTGCGGCAGGAAGGCCAGAAGGAGTTTAGGAACTGACTGCCCGGAGAGGAGGCTGGGAAGCAGGCCGGCCCCTCATCCGGGGTCTGAGGGGCACAGTGACGAGAAGGTATTGCCGAGAAGGTATTTTAACCTACGTGTGAAGGAAAGCCGCTTCTTCCTCTGTGAAATGGGGCTAATGCTAGCACCTGCCTGACAGGGAGGCTGCAGGAAACCGACAGATAATAGGAGGGAAAAGCTTAGCTCTGCGTGGGCATGCGGGGGGCCACGACTGATCGGAAGTGGGAGGATGAGTCACAGTGCTGAATTCATCATTTCCTGCTTCCTCCCTTGTAGAAGCTCACGATGAAATCCCAAAAGCACATGCCAAAAATATGGTACCGAGACTCCCACAGCTCAGACTACCATGGCCAGGGCGTCACGGAGCTTCCTGACGGGAAAGGGGCAGAGGGAGCTGGCACCAAGGGCGGCCCTGGCCAGAGCCCAGCCAGCACTCTCCAGGGCACTTTCTCACTTGCAGTCAGAGGCAGGTGTCCTGTGTCCTGTGGCCGTACCTGGAGGGCGGTCAGCTGCCCGATGTCGTCAGGAAGCGCTGACAGCTGATTATCGTGAAGATCCAGAACCTGCAGGAGGAAGGCGAGCGTAGGGGTCACAACAGTCACCAAAGGGAGAAAGCCCACACAGCTCAGACTCCGGGACCTCTTCCTGTCTCCGGTGTTGAAGCAACAGCAGCCCCTCCTCTCCAAGGACGAGATCTTTCCATCTCAGCTCCTTTTTGAAAATGGGATACCGTTGCTTTCTTTTCTTTATCAATATTTATTTTTAGCTGCTGAGCGTTAACAGTATGCTATGAAACAGTATGCATAAATATTCATGTTAAACAGGAAAACCCTCACAGTGTAAGTACATACTTACGTGGAAAAAGACTATCAAATATGCAATAATATACTGACGGTGGTTCTCTGGAGTGTGAGATGACGGACATTTTTCTTCCTTTGCTTAACTGTATTTGCTAATTTTTTGTAACACAAATGAGCAAAAAGACACATCATGTATGCAACTACATAAATATGTTTCATGTACATACGAATAAAATAGAAATATACACAAATATAAAATATGTATTTAAAATGTATAAGATATTGTTTTACTATAAAAAAAACGAGTGTTGGACTAGAATAATAAAGACAAGTAAAAACCACCCTAACTCCTACAAACCAGACTTAACTCAAAAAACACTGTGATGCCTGATGCTACCATCCTTTGCCTCTCATTGTGTGTACCCACTGTCACAGCTCATGTTCATGTGGAGTAATCCTGAGGTCATAGGCCACATGTACTGTGACTATGCCCCAGTCCCTGTCCCGGAGAGGCTAACAGGAGGAAGTCAGCCCGGATCACAGGGCTTTCACACACTGACCGTGATGCCTGGCGTCCCTCCGGGGCGCCTCCTTGTTTGGGCCCATTGGTCTCCATGCGCTCTGTGAGCTCACCTGCTCTGAGTTTATGCTTTGCCCTTCTACCTGTCGGGCAAGTTCCCATGAAGGCAGGGCCTAGGGCTGGTTATCTTTGTAACCCCACCCCACGCATGGCACTCGGGTGCCCCATCAACTGTGCTAATCCCGGCCTGACTATGAAGTTAGGCCCGCCCGGCATAAGCTTTAACAAAGGCAGCTTAGCTGTCACATGCTACACCAGGCAGAGTCCCTGACTCCTGAGAGAAGGGCCCCAGTACCTTGATGGTTATGAGACTCAGGAGGCTGCAGGATTTAGGGAGCAGGGAAGTGAGGTGATTCGTGTGGACAATCAACACCTGTGTGGGGAAGATTTGGGGCACGTTAGCAGGAAGAGGAGTAGCCAGCAGGCCGCCAGCTTGCTGCACGGTACACCGCAGACCCCGCCTGCCCGCTGCCCTCTGCTCGCCCGGACACTGCCATGGGGGATGTGGCTCAGAATCGCAGAATCACCAAATGTGGAATCACATAACCTGAAAGCCTGTAATTTCAAGGGTGAAAGGGATCTTCGAGGCTTGATGCTACCTTCCATCCTGAGAAGGTCCCTGTGCAGCTGTCCTGATCTTAACCTCCCTCAGGGTCAGCACCTTCACGTGGGGAACAGAGAATAATAAAGTACTTGCCTCCAAGGGCTGCTGTACGATTAACCAACAGACAACGAGCACTGAGTCCAGGGCTGGCCTGGGGCTGAAGGCTCCATCCGTACCATCTGTTGCTATTTTTATAGCACTGACCCCTGCATACAAACTTCCAGTGTCAAGGAGCTTACCGGGCTGTCAGTATGGAACACTTTTTACCTCCCTTCCTTAGAGAATTCAGTTAGAATGCTCTCAGCTGTCTCCATGCAATGCTGTAATGTCTTTCTGAAAAATCATTCATTCCATTCTTAATCTCCGCTGGGTGACCAGAACGACGTAAGTACAGTTTTCATTATTATGAACAGCGAGGTCACCCCGTGTTTACTGAGGCAGGCCTTGTACCTGGTGCATTCCCGTCTCCATCTACCTACCTCCTGCCTGTCACTCTATTAATTCTCATGACAGCTCTGTCAGAGTAGGACTAGCACTAGGAATGTCTTCATCTCACAGATGAAGAAACGGATCTAAGAGTTGGCGGAAGTTGCCCAACTCACGAGGGGCAAAGCCAGGATGTGACCCGGGACCGTTTGACATCAGACTCAACTCTTCCAACTAGGCAAACACCTGCTTCAAGCTGAAAGGGTGAGAATCAGGGAGAAGGGAGATGTCTATGCCAGGAAGACAGTGCCTCAAAGTCCCACCTGATTTCCAACAAGCAAACATGCAATAAACAAGCCTGTGAAAATGAAGATCCACGTTACCTTCTTCTGCAGAACTTTGCACGTTGCAAAAGCCCCATATGGAATCTAAGGGAAGAAAAAGAAGAGTCAGCACCTCCCTTCCTGCCGGTGGCACACAAGTGAGGGAGCGACAGGGCAGGAGGTGATCAAGTGCAAAATTCTCACGTGCACAGCAGTGCTGAGCTGGGAGTGTGGTGCAAGGGAGGCTGGGGAGGAATGCTGCTGGGAGGTGGTCAGCCCTCCCCTGCAATCAGCTGGCAGGAGACTGCCCTGCCCGGCCCCAGCCCACACACCAGCCCCATCATGAGCTCTACCAGGGCAAAAGAAAAAGGCTGGAGAAACCCTGGTTCTTCCAGTTCCCTAGAACTCTGTGGGTGCATTTTCTAGATTCCCAATTCTCATAGACTATGTTGAAGCCACCAACCATCTCAATTCGTTTGAATAAGAACAAAATCCAAGAACACTTTACTCGACTAATGCTTCCAGTGTTTTAAAAGCCCCAGTCCACATCTGTCTTTCTTAGGGACATGTGATCCAAGAAAAAAGGACCAATCAAATTCACAGCCAGAACACCAGCCCTGATTTACCTCTGAGAGCTCACACTTAGAGATGTCAAGAATGTCATCGGCCCCAGCTTCTTTTGCCTGCGAACAAAAAGAATAATAATAAAAAACAAAACGCCCTTGAAGAGCGGACAAACCAGCCAAAGAAACACAGGATCAAGGAGCTGTAAGAGACCAGCCACTGTCTGGTTCTACTAGTCCCTTCTGCAGGTGCACCAATGACCCCTGCCTTAGTGGGGCTTGAGGTCCAGCATGGAACAGCAAATTAACAAGTCACAACAACTGTCATCAGTTCCCTCAGGAGGGAAGCGGAAGGCACTCCTGAGTACCAGATAGGAGGCCTCACCCGTCTGCTTTGAGTCAGAGATCTCCTCTGGGGGTCAGGGAGACAGATGGGAGGGAGGGAGCAAGCGGCTGGTTTGGGGGCAGTGTGGAGCCCAGTTCATGAGGGCAGGGGCGGAGATGGACTCAGAGGAAGCCCAGTTTCCCTCACCAGACACATCTGATACTCTAGGCGTTTCCGAGCCTCTTCACTGGGTTTCCGCTTCCGGAAGAAGAGCGGCATTCTTTCTTTCTTGCCCTGGAGTAATCTTCGGGACTCTAGGGCATAGGAGAGAAATCAGGGCCTGGGGAATCTGTCACACCCGGGGCAGGCAGCACGCTAACGCAGAACACGGAGCTGATCTGCTGGACCGTGTCATCCCTGATGGCAGCATCTGCATCCATCTCAACCATCCATCTGGGCCACGAGCCCTGCATAGCAGGTCTTTCTTAGGATGTCCTTTGAGAATGCATTAACAGACGAGACTGATCAATCACTTCTAGTTCCCAAAACACTGTCAGAGTCGCATCAACAAGCCAAACATGGCATCAGCTACATCGTAAGCAAAGAGATCTCTTAGTTGAATCAAAACTCCAAGGCAATCCTCAGACAGCTTACCACCTTCACAGCTACCGTTGCGTCTGATTCTCACCACAACCCAGTTTAAAGTGATATTGAAATGGACACATGAGCTCAGTGATCTGGTTAGATGGCCTGGATTGTCGCAAAAACAGTCTGGAGCTCTGTTCTTTCGAATGCTGACACTGTGGGGTTTGCCCAACGCCTTCATGCTTGGATAACTTAGCATTTGCTAATTACAGTGTCCTGAACTCAGAAGCCAGGTGCTTACTGCCTACCCAGCATCTGCAACTAGCAGCGCAGATAAGGGTCATCAATGGGCCCAGGAAGCAATCATCCCGGGACGCTTGCAGTTAACAGCCCAGGCTTTGGAATGAAATGTAACCGGGTTTATGGAGGTTCCTCAAAAAATTAAAAATAGAAATACCCTATGACCCAGCGACTGCACTACTAAGTATTTACCCGAAAGATACAAAGGTAGTGATCAGAAGGGGCACCTGCATCCCAATGTTTACAGCAGCGTTATCAATAATAGCCAAATTATGGGAAAAGCCCAACTGTCCACCGATCGATGAATGGATAAAGAAAATATTCTGTATCCACATACACACACACCCACACACACACCCACACATGAATATTACTCAGCCATCAAAAAGAACGAAATCTTCCTGTTTGCAACAATATAGCTAGAGTATATAAAGCTAAATGAAATAAGTCAGAAAGAGACTAATACTATATTACTTAACTCATATGTGGAAATTAAGAAACAAAACAGATGAACACATTGGAAGGCAAAAAGAGAAAGAAGTAGACAAACCATAAGAGACTCTTAATGATAAAGAACAAACAGGGTTGATGGAGGTGGGTGGGGAAGGGGTTAAATGGGTGATGGGTATTAAGCCCTTGCTATGGTGAGCACTGGGGTTATACGTAATTAACAAATCCCTAAATTCTATTCCTGAAACCGGTATTACATTATAAGTTAACTAACTAGAATTTAAATTAAAAAATTGAAAGAAAAAAATGTAACTAACCATGTCCACCAACCATGTCACCTCTGTTCAATCTTTCTGAGCCTCAGTTTTCTCATCTGTATAATAATCTTACCAATACCTGGTTCTGAGAGGATCCAGTAATTTCATATATGTAAAACTCATAGCACATTACCTGGCACATAATCATTGCTCAGTCAACTATCAGCCACACAGCACTATATATCTAACAAATGACTTATTCAGGGCCCACTACAGCTAGGGAGAAGATGCAGTTGAAGAAGATACAAACTCAGTCCTCAGGGGGAGGGATAGAGATCACAGGTCTCCGCCCACAGGGGCGTGGGCAGTCTGGGGAGCCTGCCAAACTGCAAGCTGGCTCAGGCACCTCTTGTCACCCCACCTGCCAGCAGGGATGGGGACTAGTCTAAGAACAGCCCTCCCCCATCCATCCCTGGTGACAACTTCTTACTCTTCTGCTTCCCAAGGACTACCCCTGCATTCCCTCCCCAAAGTCCAGCCCTCCCACCACGTTCCCCACAGTGACCATCCCTTCTCCATCCCTCCCATAAGATCAGCTCCTCCCAACCTGCTCTCTGAGGTTCAACCTTCATCCATTCCTTCCATTGACTCCAGCCCAATGGGAAGAACCACACCCATTCTCCCCAGGCTGGAGTGGGGAGAGCCCCACCTGGCTTTGTGGGTGGACAGGTCACCAATGCTCCTTCCCTCGTGTGGACCGGAAAGCAGGCAGATCACTCGGAGGGCTTGGTCATGAACACCGCCTTGCAGACCACCGGACATGAGCCCGGGCGGAGCCGGAGTCTGGTTTCCTCCAAACGCAAGAGCTGGGGACCGAAACTCAGAATCTCAGAAAGTCATGCAGACACGGATGACGAAGTCTGAGACTCTGAGAACAGTATAATTTGGAAATAGGAGTTAGATCAAATTTAGACCCGAATAAAATTGTTTCCATAACAAAAATGCACATATCACATCCACTATCGGTGGACGCGGGGCGACCCATGGCCCTAGGGTCTCGGAACGGGGGTGCGGACCCCTTAGGGGAGGGGCGGGGCTTTCCGTTTAGGCTACAGGGACCAAAGGGTGACCCTCATAAGAGAGAATAGAGAACAGCGGGGGCCTGGAGCAGCCCTCTCTTGCCTGCCCCACCTCCAGGCGAACCTCCCCGAATCCCCCCAACCCCCAACCCTTCCCAACCCCTAGTTACAACTCACCCGGAGCGGGGTTCTCCAGCCGTCAGCCTCAGGCACTGCCCACAAGCAACATGGCGGCAAGGGCGTCACTGGGAGGCTGGCCGGGGCGAACAGGTCTCGCGAGAGTCGTTCTTTCCAGCCTATATCCGGCGCCGTCAGAAAGTCTTCCGGTCTTTTGGTTTTCGGCTAGGAGGAGGCAAAGGTGCAACTGTCTTCGGTCGTCCCGAATCCGGGTTCATCCGACACCAGCCACCTCCGCCATGCCGCCCAAGTTCGACCCCAACGAGATCAAAGTCGGTGCGTGCTTTAGATGTGGCTGGGGCTGCAAGATGGAGCATCCCTTCTCCCCGCAGCCCGTCGGGCCTCGGGCCCAGCCGCCGTAGCCTTTCCCACGACGGGCTTTAAAGTTGCTGCCCGCTAGATGCCCTTCCGGGGCTGCGATCAGGGCGCTGTGAGGTCCTGGCCGAGTCTCTTGACTCGTTCTGGGTCTCAGCTTCCCCACGTGTAAATGGGGAGGGAGGACCGGACGACCTGTGGTGGCTTTGCAGCACGCACGCCATAGGGTAAGGTTTGTGCCCGGGCGCTCCTCCCCGCCACTGGGTTGGCCGGCGGCCGAGCTGTCTCCCGCCGGCCGGGTGCGAATCTCGGTAGCCGTAGCAAAGCCGAAGGCCGCTGTCCCACGTGGCGCTTGGAGCGATCCACGCCAGGGAGGACGCGACTCGCCCGCTGCGGGTTGGGTGGCCCTTCCGCTCCCTGCTGGGGCTCTCGGTGCTGTTTCGAGAACTGACAAGCGGTGAGGCCAGCCCCAGAAAGATTCTCGGAGAGAAGGCTGTGGCGCGGGAGCTCCTCTTGCAGCGACACTGATGTTTTCTTTCTCCCAGTGTACCTGAGGTGCACCGGTGGCGAAGTCGGCGCCACGTCTGCCCTGGCCCCGAAGATCGGCCCGCTGGGTCTGGTAAGTCATCCTCGTGGAGGACGGTTGCTTAGGTTCCACACTGCGGAATTGGCAGTCCCTCCTACACCTCCTCTGAAGTGGAAGTGCCCCGGTAGCAAGCTCATACACGAGATTGGAACGTGCTGCTTTGAAGCTGTAACTTCCACTCTCCAGGGTCAAGATCCTAACTGCGGCCTTGAGCATACCTGAGGCGTGGGCCAGAGGTCTTGCCTGACGGTTTAGAAGGTAGCTCAGCGCCACTTGGCAGCCTGCTTAGCTAAATGTGTTCTAGTCAGGGCAGTGGGCCTATCACTGATGCGGTTAAATTTAGCAGTAGAGTGTGTTAACTGGGGTATGAACTGAACATCGTAGTTTGTGTAACCTACTCCTTAATATGACCAGCTTCACTGATGACCCTATTTATCCACTTTTCCAGTTCATGCTTTTGCTGAGCTTGCATTTCCCTGAATATCATTAGGCTTTTATTCCTTGGACATTGGTCTCCTGAACCAAACACTGTTCCCACGTGGTCTTGCTTAACTACGTGGTTAAGCACGTTTCCTTGGCTCTCCGTGAAGCTGGCATCAGCCAAGCATCTTTCTTGTTGAGGCTGATGGTTGTTCGGAAGTCTTAAGTAGCTGATGCCCGGATCCCATCCTTGCCGAAACCTGGTGTCTGTGAAACTGTCCAGGTGATTTGGTGGCTATAACTAGACTTGGAAATTCCCGCATTATCACATGGGTCCTTACTGGAGGGTAGGTGGGTAGGTAAGGGACGTGGCCATCTTATGACATTGTCTACTACTGTGATAGCCATGCCTTGATTTGGTAGGTGCAGTTCTGTGCTTCAGACAGTGCCCTGTGCTGGCTTGGGGTGTCGGCCAAATGAGCGGGATGGGTTTTCAGACTATACTTCGAACTTATTAAGAGACCAGTGTGATACACCTTTTTTCCCTCTATAGTCTCCAAAAAAGGTTGGTGATGACATCGCCAAGGCGACTGGTGATTGGAAGGGTCTAAGGATTACTGTGAAGCTGACCATTCAGAACAGACAGGCCCAGGTACTTGGTTTGAGGGGAAGGGCAGAGGTAGCAACCCTCTGGGGTTCCTGGGGGGAAGGTTTTTGCCACCTGCCCCCAGTGGTGAGCTGAGGGCAATTTTAAATGGGGGTGGGGAGGCTTTTTTGAGAGTATGGTCAAGAAAGAGCAAAGATGTGGGCCTGATACTAACTCTTGTCACGTATGTGACATTGGGCAAAGTGCTTTGTGTCTCTGGGGCTAGGACATGTTTCAGGCTGTGAAAATAACTCAAGAATGTACAGCAAACACAGTCTGGCCCATGTATTTTGAGAGCCTGGTCGCATGGCCGTATTGACAGTCTTCATTGGAGCTTAGAGTGGGGGCTTATTCACGTGGACAATTTCTTTTGCAGATTGAAGTGGTACCTTCTGCCTCTGCCCTGATTATCAAAGCCCTCAAGGAACCACCAAGAGACAGAAAGAAGCAGAAAAACAGTTGAGTGGCTTTCTCCTTGGTAATTTGTGAGTGGTAGGATCAACCCACTGTGATAACTTAGTGGCATGTTTTCCCTTTAATGAACCTGGGTTGAGGGCGCAGAGGGAGTTGATAAGCTGTTAGAGAGCCAGGCACCACCAGGAAGTGTCACGTGGCTCCCCAGTGCCTGGCATGGGGCTGGCCCTACTCAGGGCACGCAGGAGGGAAAGAGGGTGAAGTGGTAATGGTAACCAGTAATCAGACCACTTCTGAGCTAACCTAAACCTGTCCTTTTTTTTTTTTTTTTTTTTTTTCATGTTTTAAACTGTCTCCTTTGTGAACATTAGCAGAGACTTGATTTTGCCCCAGCCACCCGCCACTGCACCTGATCAGTTTCTGTTGGCCGGTGCGGTCCAGTGGTGAGCTGAGAGTAAACCCCAGCTTAGGAAACAGGGTTGTTCTTCATGTGGATGACTCTGTGCCGAAAGCATGGGAACAGCCTGGAAATAAAGACGAGGGAGCACATGATGTGGTCTGCTTTGGCCTTTGGTTGTGACCAAGCTTACACTTTTTCTTTTCTGCAGTTAAGCACAGTGGAAATATCACTTTTGATGAGATTGTCAATATTGCCCGACAGATGCGGCATCGATCTTTAGCCAGAGAACTCTCTGGTAAGTGGACAACATTGTTATATGGGGCGTATGCACCGAGTGGTAGCATTTCCCAGTTTGAAGGGACAGTCACTGTAAGACCCACAGTTGGGGTGCAGAATGGCTTGACATCAGTGAATATTTGGGGCTGGAGGTGTTTAAATCTGGGTGTCAGGGGAGCCGTGGAGACTGCATTAAGGGCTTAAAAAACTAAATGGAGTTCTGAATGTTGGATTAGAGAAGTAGGGATGTCATTCCATAAAATAGGGTTAATCCCTCAATGCCTGCTGTGATTTCCCTATGGGTATCTGAGGACTGTGAGGGACTGAAGCTCCTCTGATGCTACTTTTCTTACTTCCAGGAACCATTAAAGAGATCCTGGGGACCGCCCAGTCTGTGGGCTGCAATGTTGATGGCCGCCACCCTCATGACATCATAGATGACATCAACAGTGGTGCCGTGGAATGCCCAGCTGTAAGTGACCTCTGTTTCACTTGGGTAAAGCAGGGTGAGAGCTGGAGGAAGGCTGGAACAGTTCTAGAAATGGTCAATAGTGGGTTTGGACTATGAGATTTTTTTGTTCTGTTGACGTATTTCTTTTTTCTTTCCCACAGAGTTAACTACAAAAGAGAATTATTTCAATAAAGGATCATTTGACATCTAGTGGACTTTTTGATGTGGCCTCTTCCTTGCGGGGGCTGGCTCTTTTGTGGTCAGAAGAGGGGCCAGTGGGGCAGAACCTGTGGCAGAAGTAGCAGTTTGGGTAACAAGCTTCTGGGTTGACAGATGGCTGCCCTGTATGGGACTAGCTCAGAGGAGACACCTAGAAGGGAGGTCTCGGTGCTTTTCTTGTAGGCCACATACATGCATAGAACTCTTCATAAAAATAAAATTCTTGGCCAAAAAGAAGACTTGCACGTCAGCATGAATACATGGCAAGGAATCTGTGCCAGACCAGTTTAAATCTTGAGGGGGCCCACGGCCTTCCACGCAAGCGTTCACTGTCCATTGCGGTGTACAGCCAGGCTTCAGAAGCACTGATGGGAAACAAAGGAATCTGACCTTTGTCTTAAGTCCTTAAGAGTCATTTTCTAGTGGCATGTTTTTGGCTTTCCCAAGTCTCATTAGCCTCTCATGGTTCTTTTTTACTTTGAAGTGAGGTGAATGTGGAAGATGAGCCAAGGTTCTGTATATTGGGGTGAGCTATATCTGAGTAGCTCAGAAGAGCTTCTGGATACCGGCCTAAAAGGGGGGACGGCTTGGGGATAACCCAAGAATTTAGCTTCCTTGGCATTAGTCATATTCTTGCTTTACATAATTTTGTCAATAGGCCTTTAAAGTAGGTGGGTTTTTCCCCACCACCCCCCCCCCCTCAAGCAGGGTTGGAGAACTGTAGTGGGAAGGATTACCTGAGAACTCAGGTCGGTGAGGGAAAGATAAACCTTCTAGGACCTGTGCCAAGTGACCAAGAAACCAAAGCTAGAGGCCTTGGGTGGTGAAAGCTGAATCTGAAGTCAAAGGGTCCCCTAACCCCAACCACAAGGGTTTACTATGGAGATGAGGTCGTGTTGGCTCTGTGAGGATGGTATGCCGAAGGGGAGACCCAGCAGGGGAGAAAGAAACCCCAACAGTGAAAATCTTGCTCTAAATTAAACTTCTTCAGGAAGAGAAGGGAAGGACCCACCGGCCTGTGAGGGAAGGACGGTGGACATCAGGTTGTCCTGGCCCCTTAGGGATGTACTCTGCTGAGGGATTTCACTGGCTTCCTCGGGACGTGCTCAGCCTCTTCTTCCCTTTTGGGTGTTTTCTTTCTAACAGTAGCAAACACTTGGACATCAGGTAGAGATTGGGCCTAGCAGTGTCTAGATTTTCCTATATAGAGCTTCAAAGAGTAGATATCCTGGGGTGCCTGGTGGCTCAGTGGGTTAAAGCCTCTGCCTTCAGCTCAGGTCATGATCCTGGGGTCCTGGGATCGAGCCCTGCCATTGGGCTCTCTGCTCAGCAGGGAGCCTGCTTCCCTTCCTCTCTCTCTGCCTGCCTACTTGTAATCTCTGTCAAGTAAATAAAATCTTAAAAAAAAAAAAAAAAAGTAGATATCCTGCCCCCACTGTCGATGAGACTGTAGCATGTCCAATCTTTCCTCACTTGAATTACTCCCCGCAAATCCTCTTTGGCCCCATTATGCAAACTTCATTCTTATCTAGTGTTGGTTCTTTTAACAGCCTTCATTCAAGAACCAACCATCACCCAAACACCTGGCCTTTAAGAAGAAACCAAATTAGGGCACCTGGGTGGCTCAGTTGGTTACGTGTCTACATTCAGCTTTGGGTGATTCTGGAGTCCTGGGATCGAGCCCCACATCTGGTTCCCTGCTCAGAGGGGAGTCTGATTCTCCCTCTCTGCTCCTGTACTCTTGCTCACTGTCTCTCAAATGTCTTTAAAATTAAAAAAAAAAAGAACCCAAGTCCTTCACTCACTGACCCCTTAATCTTTATAAATCAAGGTTCCTGCAGTGCTTGCTACACAAAAAGCAGCTTGGCTCACTGAATAAAGGTAAGTCTCCATATACTTTGATGGGTTGTTGATGCTTACTGAAGAGTTGAGAAAGAAGAGAGCTCCTGAGACCTTCCACCTGGGACATGTAAAATCGGGACTATTTATTAAAGGTGCTTTTGCGTGTGGCTCAGCTACAAGACTGTAAAGTCCCAGGTCCCCACAGGTTTTCAGACCACCTGCATTTCCTGCCAGGTCCCCACCCACTTCGGTCCTCTCTCTGGTTACTCCCCAGCATGGAGTGTCTGGTGTCTAATGAAGGCGGAGCTACACCGGAAGGCCTTGCCACACTCCCTACATTCATAGGGCTTCACACCAGTGTGAATCCTCTGATGCTGACTAAGGGACGAGCTCTGGTTGAACGCCTTCCCGCACTCATTGCACTCGTAGGGTTTTTCTCCCGTGTGAATTATATGATGTCGGATAAGGGCTGAGCTCTCACTGAAAAACTTCCCACACTCATTACATTTATATGGCTTCTCCCCAGTGTGGGTCTTCTGGTGGATGAGGAGATTTGTGCTTTGGCTGAAAGCCTTCCCACACTCGCCGCACTTGTAGGGCTTCTCTCCTGTGTGAGTCCTCTGGTGGTTTGTGAGGTTTGCGCTCTGGCTGAAGGCCTTCCCACATGCCCCACATTTATATGGTTTCTCCCCAGTGTGGATTCTCTGATGCTGAATAAAGGCGGCACAGTAACTGAAGGCCTTCCCGCACTCGCCGCACCGGTAGGGCTTCTCCCCCGTGTGGGTCCTCTGGTGGTTTGTGAGGTTGGCACTGTGACGGAAGGCCTTCCCGCAGTCGCTGCACTCATAGGGCTTCTCCCCGGTGTGAATTCTCTGATGCTGAACGAGGGCTGAGCAGTCACTAAAGGCTTTTTCACACTCACTACATCTGTAGGGCTTTTCTCCGGTGTGAGTTCGCTGGTGCTTCGTGAGGTTTGCGTTCTGGCTGAAGGCCCTCCCGCAGTCGCTGCACCTGTAGGGCTTCTCTCCGGTGTGAATCCTCTGGTGCTGAACCAGAGACGAGCTCTGGCTGAAAGCCTTCCCACACTCGTTGCACTCGTAGGGTTTCTCCCCAGTGTGGCTCTTCTGGTGCTGAGAAAGGGAGGAACAGTAACTGAAGGATTTGCCGCATTCGCTACAAGTGTACGGTTTTGCTCGGTGGGGCTTAACTGTAGGGGAGTTCTTCCTGCAGCTCTTTCGATGTGCTTCCCATTTCCGGGGTCTCGCTTCTGTGGGAACTCTCCGTTGTGGAGAGAGGACTGGTCTCAGGTTGAAGCTCTTTCCCAGGTCACCATTCCTGTGATCTGACTCCCCAGGGGGCAGCTCCATACTTGGGTCTTGGAATGAATCTTCAGAAATGTCATGCTCGGGTGGTGATTCAGACATAATCTTCCAGTCTGGAAAATATTTAGAAAAGCATTTTGCCCCCCTTCGGTGGAGGAAAAGGTACTACCGAAAGACAAAAGGCCGATGGGGTTTGCTCGAACTTCTGTGCGGACAGGCCTGATGCTGCCTCCCTCTCACCCGCAATACTGACCGCGATGGCTCTTCAGATACGTCAGCGTGCCTGACTCCCTTTCCTGACCTGCCATGGACGCAGAAGTTTACCCCAATCTCCCTCAGATGCAATGTTCCCTTCCGCATTTCTGACCCTCTCCTCCACTTTGCCAACTACTGGACAGTCTCTACTTGTCTTCTTAGTCTCACAATTCTTGGTCTGGATTTGGCAATCTGCTTACCAGGTTTAAATAATTCACTTTAAAAAGCTGATGGCCAATGCCAGCAAGATGAATTCTTTCACCTATCCAATCGGCTACATTTCAAAATTCTCGTGTCGGTAGGAAAGCAGCATCATGAGATCTTACACACTGGTGTGACCACCTTTCTGCAGAGCCATCTGGTGGCATGTGTCAAAGAGTCTAAAATGCTGACACAAGAACCGCACCTGTAAGAATCTGTCCTAAGGAAGGACTGAAAAATTACACAAAGCTATGTTGACAAAAGCTATGTTGACAATGCTCACAGCATTATTTGCCAAAGAAAAGCAAACACCCAAATAAATGTTTAATAAAGGAATGACCACAGTAGAGCCAATACAGGGACTCTATTTAGCAATCAGAGGCCGTGTTTGAAATGGGCACACTATAGATCCTTCTGCAGAAAGGTATTTACTTGAGAAAACACTGCAAAGATACACAGTATGAGTGTAAGCTGTGTTGTCTTTGGGTTGTGGCACCAGGGGCAATTTTTATTTTCTTCAATGCTTATCTGTATTTTCTAATGTTTTCCAATGTCAATATTATAATAAAAGTTATAAAAAAAACTTTCAGAGAACATGTAGTGATAGAAAACTATTGTTACATGAAAAAAAGAAGTATGTAAACTTACACACTGTTATTTCTACTTTAGAAGAATGTACAAGTTCTGGTCTGAGCCTCCCCATTAGGGGGCACCTGGCTGGCTCAGTGGCTAGAGCTTGTGACTCTTGATCTCAGGGTCATGAGTTCAAGCCTCATATGGAGGGCGGGTAGAAATTACTTAAAAAAGAAAACTTTAGAAACAAAGATAAAATTATCACTGTATTTTGTTATATGAGGAAGATGGAAGGGATGACAGGGACCTTGATTTTTTTTTATCCTGTTCCAAATCTCAAATTAACCTATTTTACTAAAAAAAGTCATTTTAAACAGAATAAATAATATTGCTTTTATAATCAGAAAATAGGTATTTTTTAAAAGAAAAGTTAATGATTCTTAACCCTTTGGGATCTCCCTCATTTTAAGAGAAAACTTTAAAATGTGAGTGTAATGTAGGATATTTGGAAACAGAAGCGTATGGCCCCACGCACTGCTGTCTCTGGCCCTGGTACTTGCACATAAGAGGGTGGAGTTTCAGGGAGGGCTACGGAGTTTCTTTTCTCAAGGGTTAATTTTCCTGAAGATTCTTTCAGTTTCTTCCTTATTTCTCAGAGGAAGAATAGCAAGGCTAGTTCTGGGTGACCTTGACTTGAATTTCTATATGGAATCTTGACCCAGATAGCTTGGGTTTAAATCCTGACGCCACCTCTCACTAGCTATGTGATTGTGGGCAAATTATTAACCCATTTCTTGGAGGTA